CAGTCAGCAAGTAAATGAGTGGCTGAATGAATCAGTCAGTGAGTGAATTTGTGGCTGAATGAACCAGTCAGTGAGTGAATAAATTGGTTGAATGAATCATTTAGCGAGTGAATGAGTGAGTGAGAGTGCTAGTCCATGCCAAGGCCAGTCACATTTCCACTGTCACTTCAGGGGCTTGATTGTTCCTGTTGCCTTGATTTTTGATTGTTCAGGGCTTCCTCAGGGCCAATGGCCAGGGGTTTTTGGCCCGCCGAATACATAGTAATTGTGTTTATTTGGTGTTTATATTTCATGTTAACTCTTTCTCCGCCATTGTGTCATTTATAACACAACGCTTCCCTGTCATTGACAAGTTTTTCCAGCAATCCATGTTTTCCCTGTTATATGGTAGAGAGGGAGGAATTACACATCTTCTGAAATAGTACAGAATCTCTAGATTCTAATTTTCTCAGCTTTTTGGTCAAAATGTTCCTTTTTCATGAAACTTTCCCATATTCAAGTGTTGATAAAAAATATGAATTAAGCTAGAATAAAATGTAGATTTTTTTATTTGTTTGTTTTAAAAGCAGAGGCTCTGTTCTTTTGTTTGATATATTTTATGTTCAGATATTCATACAACAAAATATTCTGGGGGTCATGAAATTTTGGTGAAAATTATTAGGAAGTTTCCCCTTTCTAGTGAATTGGCGGTGTGACATTATTTGTTGTAGGGAGGTATGCCAAAGGCGAGTTTTAGGGTAACGCTGCGGGGCTACTAGCCCGACAGTGCTTGAAATACTGCTTGATTTTGACCTTGTGGCTCGAGGTCCAAGGTTATTTGCCCCGTCCGGCCTGTTGATAGCCATGGATCACACTGCCCCGACAGTGGCTAATGAGAGGTTGAGAAGAGTGATTAGTTAGTACTGAAGAAATGAGTGTGTGAGCGAGTGACCTACTGGGTGTTTGGGTGAGCGAGGGAGTGAGTGAGCAGGCGTTTAAAGTGAGTGAGTTCAGACAGGAACTGGGTGTGTGAGTTATAAAAGCATCTGGCAGTGAGCACTACTCATTATTGTAACTTAAAAAATCCCAACTGCACTAAGTAGACAACAAAAGTCCCCAGTCATACATCAAAATGCATGTCAGACTTGGTGAAACTTTTTATAAGTTGTAATGCCATTAGGACTGTGTGAATCTGTAATTAAATCTGAACCACAGCGGAAATACCTCCTTGACCAAAACTGCTTGTGGTTCAGTAATTCACCACAAACATCTTTACTGGACACACAACCACATTCACATGAATGCAAACAAAAACACACAGCACAATGGATGATTACATTAATCCAGTCATGGCTGCTTCATGTACACATTGGATTTGGAGGTGCATTGTATTAAAATGAATAAACAGCCTCTAGTAATATCTTTGATTAACGTAAACATACAAGTGCAAGTACAAGCTTGCACACAGCGCAACAGACGTGCGCTCATGCTCAGTATGCGTGGCGTCTCTGTTTTGTGTCCGCTCCGCTGAAACTTTATTAGATTGTAAAGGCAGCGAAAGCTTGTCAGAAATCTTTTTTTAATCCTTATGATTTTGACACTGAGCATCGCCAGCATTCCTCATGAAATCACTCTTTCCATTTGTTCACCTCGTGCCATGTGATCCAGCAGTGAGAGATGGGACAGGTGAAGAGAAGAGAGGGAAGAAAAGGAGAAATAAAAGATGAGGTAATGAGGTGATTGCTGCTTATAATTGCACGATTGTTGCTTAGGTTGCTGTCTGTGTAGTTTAGGGATGGGACAGGATGTTTGACTAGTCAGCCAACAAAGCAGTGCTTTAGTAGGTGGAAATACACTGAGAAACTCTTTTGTGGAAACCAGGGGCGGACTGGCTGACGAACCGAATTAATCAGAAATTACTTTGCAAGTTACTTGCTAGGGATGATGTTAGGAAGTGATATTCAGCTTGCTACATTTTTAATGATTACAGTAGTTAAAACAGCTAAACTTCAACATTTTAGCTGTAAAATGCCACATGCAGTAGCTAATATTAAGAAATATGTTGTGCTTTTACTTTTAAAAATGTTGGTAACGTTACAGTTAATGCTTACAAACTTTGAAGATTTTGAATACAGAAGTTACATTTGTAATGGTGTAGCCTATTTTCATTTAGATGTGGTATTATTATTTGTGCAGTAGCTAAGATTAATTACTGCATAAATTAATTAAGATTATTAAGTAATAAATTCATTTTAAGACAGCATGGAATAAATTGTATAATTTGCTGTTAGCTAGGTATAGTATTATGAGCCACAATTAAAGTCTTGTGACACTCATGCCAGGCAGCAGGCGTTATTGTTGTTGTTGTCGAGTTTCCGCGCGCCGATTGCTTTGGGCCGGGCCTAGTCAAAGTCCAGGGCCGTTTTTTAGTCCCAGTCCGTCCCTGGTGGAAACTAGCATCTTTAAATCACCACAGCAACAAAATATTAAAGCTAAATAAAAAAAATAAAAAATAGTAATTGACAAGTTGGTTGTTAAACAATTAGAAGAGTAACTTGACCCTTTGCTAGGGCCATCCAAGCACCTGTTTCATAGGAAATCCACCACCTTAAATAATAAAGACAATTATTGAATTATTGACAGCATTAATGGCTGTATTTAGTGTTCATACTATCGTTCAAAACTTTGGAGTAAGAAATAAAATATTTTATACAAGGATGCAATAAAGTGATCAGAAGTGACAGTAGAGACTTACACTGTAAAAAAAAAAGGAAAATAAATGCTGTTCTTTTGTTTCTATTCATCAAAGAATATTTATAAAAAACTATGCATCACGGTTTCCACAAAAATGTTAAGCACCACAACTATTTTCAACATTGATAATAATAAGAAATGTTCTTGAGCAACAGATCAGCATATTAGAATGATTTCTGAAAGATCATGTGACACTGAAGACTGGAGTAATGATGCTGAAAATTCAGCTTTATCGTCACAGGAATAAATTAAATTTTAAAATATATTCAAATAGAAATCAGTTATTTTAAATTGTAATTATAAATTACCTGTATTTTGCTCAAACAAGAGACTTAAAAAATATTAAACAATTTTACAGACCCAAAACTTTTGAAAGGTAGTATACATTTTGCAAATAAATGCTCCTGAACATGATCCTAAATTAACCTAATTATAAAGGATTTCCTTAAGACCAAATAGTTGACTTCTTAAATTTACCATGAGAACCACTGACATCATCCAAAAAACCACAGACAGCATATCATTTATTCACAAATATTCAACAGTTGATAAATCATTCTACCTAAAAAGCCAGTGGCCAAAACACAAAAACTAACCATTATCTTAAAAACAGTCTTATCACGGTAATCCATCACTGACACTGACAGAATATTGATCTAGTGATTCAGCTCACACATTACTCATGAAACACATGCAGCCTCTGTTCTGGACAGTCCTACACAGGAAGCCAGTCTCCCAAGATTAATTAGACAGTCATTTCAAATGACCTAAGGAAATTAAAATGTCTGGTGTCAATTTTCCTAATGTGTAGTGGGGATGTGCAAAATGACATATTTTCAATTCATACTAGTCATTAATTTCTGAACGATTACTGATCAGTTTTAAGGAAGCTGCTGTGGATATAGTTTGATTGGACCCTGCAAAAAGCATTTGCATCTGTGTTTGAGTCGTGTTTCTGGCTTTACTCTTTTAGCAGGTTCCTTTCATTTAGCAATTAGCATAATGGTCTTTGTACAAAGACACACACATTTCCATCAACAAACATCACTGAAATAACCATCTCTCACAAAACCATAAAAAGCCAGCAAAACAAACGTTTGTTTCTATAGTTACATGCATGCCAGCATGGTTTTGATTTGGAAAGCATTGAAAAAGCTTTAAAAAGAACAATGAAAAAAGAAACGACCGCTCAGTAAAATAGGTTTAAATGTTTTTCTTTGATGTGATTACACTGTATATGAGCTTATTTATTTATTGAAAAGGTTTAGAAGATCTTATGTAATGGTAAAGAGCACAGTGAGCTGTAAAATGTGGGTTAGTTGATGGCTATTGTGTGTAACGTGGTGTGTGAAATGCAATGCTACGGTGAACTCCTCACTGTTTTTTTTTTAACAGTAAATATCCTCCCAAGACATGCTGTATTGGTTAACTTGTCTACATGCCATCTGTATCCATTTTTGATGGGTTTCCCATGGAAATTTGGCAGACAGATGCATCCTCGACTGAGTCGTACCATCTGCGCACACAGGCCAAATAAGCTCCTTGTTAAACCAAATCATCTTTCCCTTCTCAAAAGACCTCAAGGCTTATGGTTCCAGCGTTCGGAACCACTTTTCTTTTGGCAAAATACTCTCGCTGTTTCAGAACTGAAAAAAAGAGTGCAGAGGATGATGCAAACCGAAATGGATTTCCATGGTTAGTCCTGACAAGTCTGACCTCTGGGGTTCTTGTGTAACGCAGCTCACCAAAAGACAAAACCATAAACACAGCAGCAAAAAAAAAACTTTGAAAGTTTTCCTCCAACATATCAAGTATAATTTTTGTACCATTTAAGAAACATAATGGAATGATTTTGGTTAGACAAAAGTCTCAGAAGAGATCTATGTATCAAACAGACCACAAATGTTAAGAATAGCCATCCTTCTCTCATCAGGAACTATAGTTTTTTTACCAGCGGCTCAGTGCTGAACTCCCAGGCCAGACTGGGTAATACATATTAATTTATGTTAATTGCATTCAGTCTAACCTGATGTGCAGAAATCCAGATGTTGGTTGATGAGCGTGAGCACATTACTTTAGAATGAGAATAAATGAAACGGTTGGTAGAACTTTCTGCTTGATCTTAAAGTTGTCGTTGTACACAATTTTTTCTTGTCACATTAGTCAAGCAAAATAAACTTGATAAAAAACAAATGCTCACAAGCACCCACACTCCTGAAGGAACATAAAAATGAACAAAATGAAGTGTTGGATTGATGTTCTCCTACCAGCTGATGCGTGAGGACGATCCGGATGAGCGGCTCAGTGGACAGGTTGAGTGACAGGACAGGAGATGGCTCCACCTTCAGAGAAATAAGATGACTGGCCATCTGGATCTTATAATCTTTAAAGTCCACCGCCTCATTTATTCTGCAGAGATGGACAGTCAGTTATTAGCCATACTTGAACTACTGTTAACATTCCAGAATGAGCAATGCAGATTATGCTAATACCACATTGTACAAAGTGAACTTGTGCAGATGTTGCTTTAAGGAGATATTTCTACCTGATACTAGTACCCATAAATTCTAATTTTGTTGTGTAACCTACTTCAATCAGGTTTATTTAAGGGGAATACTGTTGTAACTTGACTGAGTGTCATTGACCCTACATACAATTTCCAATAAAACTCAGGACGGACACATTCTACACATGCGCACCTACATCGGGGAATTTTGTGAAAATTGTGATTTGGGGTTATTGTATGCACATTATGTTGCATCAAAGTGAAAATCACAATTGACAGCGCTACTCTTCAGCACAATGGTAACCACAACATTCAATAACAGAAACTCCTCTAAATGTCCAACATAACTGAACATTAAACATTAACATAAACTACCAACATCCTTCCCTTTACAGAAAAACACATAAAATAACACTTAATCCCTAAATTTACTCTACTGATGCAGTCCCTTGCAAAGCATGCTGGGAACTACAGATCCACTGCCCAGGGCTGCGTTTCCCAAAAGCATCGTAAGAATAAGTAGATTTTAGAGCCATTGCCACAATGGTCTATATGAGCAACTTAGCTCACGATGCTTTTGGGACATTTTAGACACAATATTGTCAGTTACATTATCTGTTTTTGCTCTGGCAATAAAATTGTTCCAAACAAAGCCACAGAAGAAACAATCATTATGTGTCTCCGGGCAACAGTATTGCCGTTTGTTTAGTTTCTTAATGAATATGCACACGCAAATGTGGTACATCTGGATTACATTCAGACTATATAGAATTTACTTTTTTTAACGGTTGACAATGTAAGTACTTATTCAAAAGAAGTACCTACTCAGAGAGCGTGTGATTTTGGAAGCAGCCTCAGTGTTTTTAAATGAATTAGTTGAATGAATGATTCAACGACTTGCTTCCTTGCTAAAGGAATCAGTGTTTTGGAATTAATCAGATGAATGAAAAATTACACTTGTCGCCACCTACAGGTGTAAAGTTGCAGTCACATTTCAGTGAAATTTCACAGGCAAAAAAAAGAGTGCTGCAGCCGTGATGTCAAAACGTAAATATAATATAATATAACTTGATGATACTTGGACATTTTGCTATACAAAGCAAATTACACACACCCATGTCGAATTTTGAAGCTGTTACGCTTATTTAATTTTTTTTTCATAGTTCTAATAAGAAACTAGATAATAACATTTGGGGTGTGTTTACGCAAGATGTCCAAGTATCGGCTTTTTCTGTTTATCACAGACCTTATTTTACTCAAAACCCCATTATAAAAGCCCATAGGAAAACCTTGAGGGAACCGCTGGCGAATTAGTCTTCCAGGTTTTTACGTCATGGCTGAAGTACTCTATTGTCAATAGTGTAACGATGTACTGTATGATGAAACACTGCTCACACATAGAAGTCACTTTCAAACCAAGCGTCTTTCTGTTGGTCTGCAGAGCAAATTTGCATGACCAACTTGAACATGAGCAAAATATGCATGGGGAACTCGTACGTCTTTCCGCAAAACTCTGAATATTGGATTTCGATTGAATTGACTGGATTTTGCCCTCAAAATTTTGCAGTGCATTGGTAAATGACCGCACCTTAACAATGTAACCCACCACTAATGCACAGACTGACAGTCTGTCTGGAATGTTGTATAATCCATAGCAAATATTCTTATGTATATTTAGATGGTAATGAGAATATACCCTGCAGAATCTCTCTTTTGCCCAGTGGAGTTACATAAAAAGATTTACTAAAATAAATAAATAAAGTTAAGTACTGATCACGGCTGTGTTAAGATGAGAAGAGAGTGTTATCAGTCGACTTAATGACTGGGAGTATCAGACACAGAGGCCCAGATGAGAGAGAACCACAGTGATAAAGCCATGCGCACAAGAACACAATGTACAACAGGAAACACACACACACACACACACACTTCACCTTGTTTGTAGAGGGCTGATTTTTTTGTAGTAGTTGTGCATTTTGTGGTAGAAAAGTCCCACGATCGTGGTCTGAGCTGCAGGGGGAAACAGACACAACTATTACCATTCGATCACACATTTGTATGTGTGTTTTGAAGAATGTGTTGGGCTGCCGTTGAAATGCATAAAGAGGATAGACTCATTATCACAGACACTGCATGTGCTCCTCTCAGTGCAGCTCTAATGGGAAAGATGTGTGTTCACACACACACGGGAAGAGTGTGATTGAGGGTCCACCACGTGTGTGAGGGGGAAATATGTTACACTATACTTCAAAAAATCTTTCGGCCATTAAAAAATAAATACACAGGGCCATTTCCCTTCGAGTTTAAAACCAACTCCAGTATTATTATGAAAACACAATAACTAGTATCACAATTTGACAGCAGAATTTGTGTAAATAACCATGTAAAAGAATGTTGATAACTAGACCATTGGATGTGGCAGTATCATTTCACCAGGGTCTGAATTAGGGCTGCACAATTAACTGAATAAATAATTGACATTAATATGAGTGTTGCTGTGATTAATCATGGAAAGTATCATTTACAGTATTACATTAAAGTATTCTCCACATTCTAACAACATGATTTTTTTGCAGGGTTTGAGCACAGCAACCAATCAGAGGCATTTAAATGTGTCTAGGCCAATCATTAACAACAACCAGTTTGAAGCAAACTAACCCACAGATGCATGTTTTATTTCTGTTCACGGTGGCACACGAAAATGAGTGCTGAAAAGTTTTTGTAAATGTCTTGATTAACTGATGTCTAAAAAAAGCAATAACATGATTCAGCAACTCAGTTCTCAGCTTATACTGGATGGCCTACAAACAATATTGGGCAAGCAGCTACTCTGCACAACATAAATATTTCATATTTTATAATATTTAAATATTATTTAAATACACATTATTTAATATGTATGTTGTATATTTATATATCATTATGCATTATTTAATATTAATGTTAATTACTAATGTTTTGCAGTTGATATTACTGTGAAACATGCTTTTACAACTTATTAGTGCTTTTGCAGGTGTTAATGGACCAAATAAGCAATAATATCACTGTGTCCCAACTGTTGGGCTTCAGATGAGCTTTGGGCCAATAACCTCACAAACCAAGGGGCAAAATCTCTCTACAAATGTTTTTATTAAGACTAAAAGAAACTTGGCCCAGCGGGAATACACGGCGATTCAATGCGCTCCTTCTCTTGCTGTCTTTAATTGGCGTATAAAAGCTCTGCTTGGTTCTGTTAATGAAGTGTACCATATGTCCGGCTTCACTGGAGAAGCAGTTCAATGGCACGCTAATGCCAGTGCTAGCGTTTATGTGCCATTTCTGATAATAGAGCTTTAATAGTTTATTAAAACTGTTTATAATGAACAGAGTGGGGCTCAGGTTCAGCACTGTGCCAGAGGAGCTGAGGAGAGCTGACCCCAAAACGGTGTCAAACAAACAAAACGTTTAATGCCCTCATAATTACTGCCGCCACATGGGAAACATTGCAACACTCACTCTTCAACTATTGCTCGCATTTATACATTACGCTTTCTCTGTTTTTCATGCAATTCTGCTCTAAACAACTCCAAATTATATAACGCTTTCTCCTGGAGGGGCTTGTGAGATTGGCAGGTTTCATTAGAGAGCAGCAGGAAGTCATCAGAGTTGATTGCGTTGTTTATTTGTTGTTTATGGCCGAAGCGGACAGACAACAAATAAATGTCCTTCATCTTCCTTGTATGAAATAACAATGTGTTCTTTCACTGCCGCCAGAGGCGTATAAAAGCAATGAGATGTGTATGCGCACATTACTCATGATCAGGGGCTAAATTGGGTAGGAATGATTCAGAACAACCTTCTATTCAAAAAGAAAAAATGATTGGCAGTTTGTTTAGCAATCCATTCCATTTCATACTGTATGTCTATGCTCCAGTCCAGGTTTTGTTTGTTCCATTATGCACATTTTGGTTAAACTGGTTTAGTAAGTGGAAAAGCATTAAAGTGTGTTACTTTAAGCACGATTTATCCCATTAGTCAGTGGCAGATCATTGCATAGGCGACATAGACAAGCACTGTTCTCTGGAGCGGCACTGGATAAAGCTGCATGATCAGGACAAGGATCACCAGCAGATCTTAGGGTTTGTGAGATGTGCATACTCACACTGCATTGTAAGGGCCTCTCCTGGTACTGAGATGTAACTCTTCCCTTGTGTGGGGAACCGGTAGCTGGGCAGATTGTAGTTCTGAGGGATCTTCATCAGAGAGTAATCTAGATACATTTGAAAAAAAGGGTTGGGTCACTGTTCATAGTGAGTATAATGTTGCTTTGTTACTGCATTAGAAGGTCAAAAGAAGCACAATTTGGTACCAAGTCGGTGAAGCCGAGTACTGACTGTATTCTGTACCTGCATGTGCACCATCTGAAAGGCAGCTGGTTTAACATGCATTTTGTGAGCATGCTCTGTAACAAGCGGTTGCACTTTTTGATGCAATTCTTTGTGAGGTATTAATGTAAACACTTTCAACACTGTTTAGTTCAATTGTATATTAGTTCCGTTTGCAATTTGTTACTTATTTTTATTACAGACTGTTCACGTCTTGAATAATTATCTGATTAACTTGAAGCAATTTTTACGAAAAACTTGAAGAAAATACTAAAATAGCTACATTGCATTGTTTTAATTTAATTTGTTACTATTTTAAAAAAAACTTTTATAAATCAACAATGGTTAAATTGATAAAAAGTGACAGTAAATACATTTACAATATTACAAAAGAAAGTATCAATAAAATTATTTTACCAAAATAAAACACTTATTTTAAATTGTATGATAATACTTCACAATATTACTGTTTTACTGTATTTTCTTATCAAATAAATGAACCGCATAAGAGACTTCTTTCAAAAATATACAAAAATATTGTCGTCTCCAAAATTCTGAACCATAGTGTAATTTAAAATAAAGGTTAAATAGCCCATTCATTTTTGTGGTGATGTAGAAATTGGCACAGAATTGTGATGTTTCACTAGTATTGGTAAAGTATAGAGTATTAAAAGTTTGAATCAAGAATATTGCAGGGCGCAGCCCGATTGAAGTTATGGGAAGTCCTCTCATCTCTTGTTCTTGGGTGATTCTGTTTCATCTGTGATCTTGTGTTTTTTATGGTTTATTCACTGAATGAAACAGTGAAGTTCAATAATAGCTCAGGCAACCGGAAAGGTTTTCTGTTTTACACACAGTCTTATCATAAAAAAAGGGAGGATCAGAGACAGAAGAGAAAGTTGACTGTGAAGCCTCAGTCTCAAAGGGAATGATTCAGAAATCAGACTTCAATGAGACTTGAATCATTTTGAATCTGCACAAAGCAGATACAGAGATGTTACGGCCCTCGTCTAATTAATTTCATGTTACGTCTTTTCAAAAGACATTAAAGACATGCACGTTGCACTATTTAAAATCTTGAAAAATTAAACTTCTTCCAACTGTTTAGCATCTATGTTAAATATATATCAAGACATTTCAGTCAATTAACTAAGTCATTTTTTTTTTAATTCTTAGGAAAGTTTATTATAAAAAAAATCTGCATAGGAGACAGGCCCAAACTGAACAATTCTGGCAAATGTAACATTTCAACACTCCTAAAAAATAGGAAAATATAATCGAATAAAAAGCAATGTTTCATGCATCAAATTCCTTCACTCAGACCTGATTTTGACGCTCACCCAGTATGCTGCATTCATGCATGTGTATTAGGTTGGCATCCCCCCTGTGAGCATACTTGGACATACTCCACATACTTCAAGCCAGCCATGTATGTAGAGGAGAGGAGGGAGAGTGAATTTCTAAGAATAGATATTCTGGAAACGGGAGTTTGAAGAAATGTTTTGGAGCGTGTACTGACCTGCCACCGAACTCTTGCCCCCTATGGCCAGAGGAGCCTCTGAGTCTGGGCTGGACCGAAGCTTGGAGGCCATCTGCACCATCACCTTATCCACAGTCTCCACCAGACCATTGACCACTGGACTCCACTGCTCACCACGATAAAAGACAAGTGCAAAGTATATTACAGCTCACTGAGGTTAACAAATAAGAACCTGCAGAACTCTACGAAATGAAATCATTTTTGCTTTATTCAAATTATAAAATTTGATGACTCTTTCAGATACCAAGTTTATAGTACCTTCAGCTTCATTTAACACATTTGACCATGTTTGAATTGATTAATTTCACATCACAAAAGATGTGCTGATAAAGTATGCCGATTCGTTTGGTTCAACTCATGAATGGACTGATCGAATCTCTCTATCTATCCAATCCTTAATCCATCCAATAAACGTACCTCATCGTTTTCTCTCCAGTCGCTGGCGGTTATGACCTCATCCACACTCTTCAGTAGAGACTACAACACAGAGCAGAATAAAGGAGAGTTTCAAATGTGTGTGTAAAAGCAACACTGAAGATGATTCTGTTTTGTATATTTTTCTCAAATTGTTTTGCTTTTTGTTTTGTGTTTTCACCGGAACAAATAAGAGTCTCCAGAGAACACAGTTGCCTTCCGCCACTGATAATAAGAAATGAATTATCTGCTGGTCAACTGCTTTCTCTGTTTTAGCGCCGCGAGATATTTTCAAAAGTGGTGGGATCAATATCGGCCCTGGCAAAAAGTGGTGAGGACCCATCCAACCCGCAAATTATGCCTATGTACACAACCGTTCAAAAGTTTGGGGTCGGTAGGATTTTTAAAAGCTTTTGAAAGAGGTCTCTTATACTCACCAACGATGCATTAATTTGATCAAACATACAGTAAAAAGAAGTAATATTGTGAAATATTATTACAATTTAAAATAACTGTTTCTATTTTAATATATTTTATAAAATACATTTAATATAATATATTTTAAAATGTAATTTATTCCTGTGATGACAAAGCAAATTTTCAGCATCATTACTCCAGTCTTCAGTGTCACATGATCCTTCAGAAATCATTCTAATATGCTGATTTGCTGCTCAAGAAACATTTCTCATTTTTATTAATGTTGAAAACAGTTGTGCTGCTTAATGTTTTTGTTCAGGATTCATTGATGAATAGAAATTTTAAAAGAAAAGGATTTATTTGAATATTATAAATGCCTTAACAGTCACTTTTGATCAATTTCATTTGTCTTTGTATTAGTTTATTTTAAAAAATCTTGCTGACCCCAAACTTCTGAAATGTAGTGTATTTAAAAAAAAAAGTTAATACAATATTTTCATGACGAGTTATAGTATCAGCATAATAATTTGAGTGAAATGTGAATCGCAAAAGTAACTAGATTTGAGTAAATTAGATTTGAAGAAGGTCCAAAGAGCATCTTGTTCTTCAATGAACAAGAACACCTGACCTTCTGTACAAATAATCACACAATTAATGCCACGAATCTATTAATTTGATTAGTGTCCTAAAAATAGTCCAGAACCTGAAACATTTCTTATTTGTTTTACCTCAACTTTTCTTTATGTTTTTATAAATCCTAAAACGTTCTCTGTATTCCTGTCTTTACCTGTGTAAGGTTGTTGGCTGTTTCTTGAGGTATAGTCTTGTTTGGAAGGTTAAACGATAGAGACTGAAGGAGGTCCAGCGCTTGTAACTGCATGGGTTCCTGAAGTCTCTGAACTTCCTCTGTCAGGTTTGTGGAGGCAGGTTGGGGCATCTCTGTGATTCTCTGTAACACACAAATACAAGGTGGATGTGTCAAAAGAACTCCATAAAATCGCCCACAATCACATGTAACGGCTCTGTGTGGCTTGGACTTGAGATTCAGAATATAACGGTGTTCTTGTGGTTTGGTTTCCCATAATTTAATATAATGATTTCAACAACAAGCACCGGAATAGCTGGCGCTTGCCATTTAAATGATTTTATTAAATCTTTTTCAAATGGGATTTGTGGATGTCAATGTTAAGAGCAAAATTAAATGCCACTTTTACTGGAACTTTCCAATGAAGAACCTCCAGACTAGTTTTTTAAAGTCTTATTTTTCCTCCATACCCTACATGTGGCCGTTACAGAAAATCTTGGATCTCCTTTCTGCCCCATTTTTCTACTTCTCTTCTACTTGATCTCCTTACTCAATAAGAGCCAGTGTTGTCATTTGCGTTAGTGTTCAATCTCTGATTTCTTTCCATTTCCTCAGAGTCTGGGGGGGAAACAATAGTTCCAAAAGAGCTGGATTTGTTTGTGTTTACAGCTTCGGCCTCCACCTCATTTCATGCTGGGCTCTTGTACGTCAGCCAAGGGTGTGTGCGTCTGTGTGCACATGGCCAATCCCAGAGCGACGTCTGTGTCGGCTTCGTAACACCTAATCATCCAAGGGTGTGTGAGGTGTTGTCTGGGAGGCCGTGTTGTGTGCGTGTGATTTTCTGTGTACGTTCACTCCTTCATTTAATTACTGCGTGGGGAAGAAGTCCGAGAAGACAGATCGAGGGCATGTAAAAGGAGGTGTCAAACACTGCTGAGAGCCTTTAGAAGATATGTCAGTGTCTTGAATGCCCAACTTAATTTACTATCTTCCAAATTAAGTCAACAGTCTAAGTGTACTGTAATCTGTGACTACTGTTCTCCATGTGCTCACAATTACTCGGCAGACCTTAAAGGTGTGTAATTATTTCAATAAATTTCAATAAATTAAATACTTTCCCATAGCTTCCGCAAGAACCAAGGTTTGTTCTTGTGCATCAAACAGGTTCGGTTGAGCTTCTGTTTACGTTCACTGATCAATGTTTATATTTGAATAAAAGCCTACATTTAATCTGTTCATCAGATAAAGCGATCAGGTCTTCAGAAAATTTGGACTAAACCACTCAATTCATACGGATTAGTTTAACAATCTCTTTATGAACTTTTTGAAGAGTCAAAGTGGTAGTTGCGTAGCCGTCAATGGAGGGACAGAAAGCTCTCAGATTTCATCAAAAAGATCTTTATGTGTTCCGAAGATGAACGAAAGTCTTACGGGTTTGGAACGACATGAGGGAGAGTAACTGATGACAGAATCTTTTATTTTTGGGTGAACTAACCCGTTAAATGAAAACATAAAATCAAAATATTAACAAAATCTATAATAGTATGTCAATGATGCTAAAATAACACTGGTTCGGGAAACCTGTTTGAAAACAATGATTTTTATTGGAATTAGCTGACAGAAGTAGCACATAAATAAATAATATACTTAACCTTTACTTGTCATGATTTTTAAAAACATTTTTTATAGAATCTGAATCTTAAACTCCAAAAAAACCTCCAACTTCAGTTTATCTAGCCAGGCTGGGGTGGTTTTGATTAAGGATGATGAGTGAGAAATCCCATTATGTATTTGTGGTCTTTTCAGTGAACTCTATTAATCAGACTACCAAAGACAAACCTATTTTGTAATGAGATACTGGCAAAATCACCACAAGCACTTTTTTTTTTTACTTTCGCTGAGAGAGAAGCAAGACAGGTTAGTGCCTAACCTCATTACAGATGTGTTTGTATTTATGTACATTAGTCTTTTGCCCAGTGAAATCTCTAAGATAACCCTGGAATTTAGAGTAATATGTGATGAAGTTGTATTTCAGCTGTTATCTTTCTACTCTCCTCTGGTTTGGGAGACTCCAGTCTAAACACATAGAAACTGATTCAGAAAGTGCAACGGCTGACCTCAGATCAGAAGAATTTACCTGTAATTGATTATCTGTCGCAGCAATGAGATTGATGGATGATTCGGTTGGAAAGGTGGACATCACATTCTCACCTGTGGTAGCAAAAAATAAACAAATGAAAGTGAAAAGAAAAGTGATAAGACAAATAAATAAACGAAATGTAATTATAAAAAAAAAAAAAAAAAAAAAATATATATATATATTTCTCAAATGTATTTAATAAAATATAACATTTGAATTCATTTTAATACAAAATAAATACATAAGGATAACTATAGGGAGGAATAATTAAAAAGGATATTTTAAACAAAAAGAATCAGAAATAGGATAAATAAAAAGTTGAAGGGTGCTGTAATAATAATTATCAAAACACAGAAGCCATGTTCTAAAGAGCTCTAAACAGGTTAAACACTTCATCTCATGGAACAAATACTTCACACCTGCTGGAAAGCCTGTTCCTGAATGCACATGTCGGTTGCAGTGAGGCTGGTTTATAGGGCCCCTGGCAAAGCAGCTCTCTAATGACTCTGTACTATGCCCCTCGTTAGAGCCTATTATAGCTGGACGTGTGCAAAACAACAGTAGGTTTTCTCTTCTTGAACAACAACACGTTTTTTTATTATTAACAAAAGGTCTTTATCCCTAACAGTACCTAACAATCAGCATGCTGAGAGGATATATGCCAAAAGTCAACCTAAATAATCACTATCATCTCCGTTTAAATGAGCTATGGATCCATACTTGTCAAAATACCGGTACAAAATAAATGTTATGATTTTAAATAGTGAATTTGCAACCATAAAAGGTTAAATAATTTACTTGAGAATATAAAAGATAAAATATTGTTATTATTTTTTTCTTACCGTTAGGGTATTAAAGATGGTATATTGAATTTAAACATGATTTTACATTTATGGATTTGGCAGATGCTTTTATTCAAAGTGACTACATTGGATTTAAGTCTGAATTGTTGAACTATTGTGTTCTGACGTAATGTGCGTAAGAACCTAAGTGAAAAGAGCAAACAAGATGGATGAAGTTTGCTACTCCTGTCTAGTGTGCTTCATGGCTGCTTACTAACTCCTGACAGATACCAAAGCATACATTCATGCATTTCCTGAGAATCGATCCAATGACCGTGGCACTAGTGCCATATTCTACTGCCTAACAAACACTTCATACTTAAAAGAGGAGGAAAAAACTATTGGTCAATTTCAATTCTTCAGTAAATTTATCTGGTTTTAAAGAATGGTTAAATATATTTATTTTAAAAGAAGACAATGATTAAGTTTTCAAGAAAATTCATCACTCTCCAGGCCAGATATTCCAGATGACTGGTCCAGTATTGTACCTAATATAACTTCATTTAATTGTATTAGTCATGGAAGAAAATTAAATCTTCTTCATAAGGTAATTGAAAGGTATCACTCCGACGTTTTTGAGTTATCTGGTCTAGATGGCCCTGTTAGCTCTTGCTAGTAGATTCTGTGACTAAACCATCTGCATTTAAATGAATGGGAATGCTAACCGATAGCTTTCTTCAGGAGTTTAAGGAATAGTTCACTTCAAAATGAAAATTCTGTCATCATTTACTCACCCTCGAGTTTTAAACCTGTATGAATTTCTTTCTTCTGCTGAACACAAAAAGAAGATATTTGAAGAATGTCGGTCAAATTCATACAGGTTTGAAACTTTAGGGTGAGTAAATGATGACAGAATTAAAATTTTGAAGTGAACTAATCCTTTAGAGACCTCATTGTTCTGGTCTCTGTTACTGATCAAGACGAAAACCATTTGCAGCCTTATTGGAGCTTAAATTTGTCTTTGCCACACTGAAGACTTCTTGCCTGCAAGAAACTTCAACCAGCTGTCCAAACGAGGATCCAAACACTAGCAGTTTAATAGAAAACAAAACCCCTGATATAAAACTCGTCCTGCCGCTACATACATATAAGGTAAAGATATGCACAGTTATAACCAAAGCCAGTCTTCGAGGACACAACAAACATATAATGGTATTTCGACAGTGCGTTTCATTGTGGTTAGTTTAAGGACTGCTGGAATGCGGACCAGTTTCTCTAAAGGAAATTGTCTTCAAATGCTTCTTCCTCTCTATAATAAACCTGCACGTAGGGTAATAACTTCAGAGATATGGCAGAAAAGCAAAGCAGCAGCATCACAGATGTTTCTGTTTCCAAACAGAACTCTCTGAAATACGACATTCTTGATCTCCACCAATGACATTTTAACGTACACTTTTTCTCTGTATTGATCTGGGTGATTGCAAAGTGTTGTTGAGATTTGGAAAGGTGCTATAGACCTTATGTAGCCACGCCCCTTTTCCGCGCTGAGCTCATTGTCTTTTGACTTCCGGTCTGTATTTTCACAGCGATCTTGCGTAGTTATGAATAAACGGCTCGTTTAAAAAATTCCCAGGGTCCATTTTTTAAGAAATATACTTTACAATGCTTATCATAAACATTACAATGCTCATGATAACTTTCGTTAACTCTACAATAAGTAAATCAACTTCACCAGCTAATTACTCCTGGACAGCGATGCCATAGAAATATACAGAGTGACCGCAAAAACAATATTCTAAAGATGGCGGCGCCCTCGTTTCTCTGGTGCATAAGGTCTATACAGTTCAAATGTTTTTCAGCAACCATTACCCCAGTCTTCAGTGTCACATGATCCTTCAGAAATCATTCTAACATGCTGATTTTGTGCTCAAGAATTTTTTTTTTTATCATTACCAATGATTTTTTAGCATGGTTTCAATTAAAGTATCTTAATTGGTATTTTACTTCAAATAAATAATTAGAGACATACAGTATAACCAAGAATATTCTAGATGCATGAAGAGCTAGCTGTTACATGTATGTCTTGTGTTTCCCCCTGCATAGTGTTTTTGGTTCAGTCCTGTGTCCAAGTTTTCCCGCTCCTCGTTAGTGTTCAGTTATAGCACCTGTGTCTAGTAATTATCATCATTTGTATCACCTGTCCTTCATTCTATCATCGTCGTCTGTGTTAGTATTTAAATTCCCTCTGTTCTTCTAGTCCTTGTCCGATATACTTTGTATTATGTGTGTGAGAACCCTCTACCCGTCTGCTCCTGTGATTTATAAAAGAAGTAAAAGTTTAATTTGGAAGTTCTGACTCTTCTGCTAATTCCTTCTGCACCATACCGTTACACTAGCATCTGCTAAGAGGCAAGTTGGGACATGCTGGAGACACCAAAGACCAGGCACAGCTAATTTGGGAAACCCTGACAACAATGGCAATGGCTGACAACTGCAGAGAAGCACATGGTTGCAAGGAAGTGAAGGCTGCCACAGAGAAAATAAACTAATAGATAAATGAAATGATGACAGCAGATTTGAGTCACAATGAGCTCTATAATAACTTACCAATAGCTGCTTTGTAGTACATCCAGACATCCTGAGGGGACAGGGCCCTCTCCCAAATCACAAACTCATCGAAGGCACCTGTGGCATAGTGGTTGTAACGCCCGACATTTCCTGTGCCAATGACCAGATCGGCATAGGGATCACCATAGTTATGGGAAACATTTCCTGTGGGGTCTCTGGTGCTTAATGTTCCATTAATGTAGACCTTTAACCCCTCCGTTTGGGTCCATGTGAAGAGCACATGTGTCCAGTAGGGCCCTAGATAAAGCACAGAGACGATAGGAGAGAGAAAGCCAGCAAATTAAATTTAAAAACATTCAAACAAATAAATAAATACAACAATTGATTGTTTGGAAATAGAGATAATAGTAATATTATTTCCAGATCTACTTGCGCTGTCTGGGTCCATAAAACACAAGTTTAAAATGAACAGAAACGGAGAGCTGGAGACAGCATGTGGAATGGATAATGGATTTCATCAGCTTATAATGAAGCCAATAAGAAATGGTATACATAAACTCTGAGTTGAACTGTCAATGGCTCATTTCATCTGTCCAGGGATAAAATGGCAAATGGAGACTGTCTCATCACATCATCCCACTCAAGACGTAATGTTTTCTCTCTCTCTCTCTCTCTCTCTCTCTCTCTCTCTCTCTCTCTCTCTCTCTCTCTCTCTCTCTCTCTCTCTCTCTCTCTCTCTCTCTCTCTCTTTTTGTAAGGGATTGGTTCATGCTTTGGTAATACATGTTTTAGTCTTAAGGACATAATCCTGGGTTATCCTGTTCATGTTATGACAGTATCTTAGAGGCCTTGGTGTATTTCTAACATTCTTATTTGCATATTTATGGGTTATATTTAGTAACATTGACTGGGCAAATATAAATGCTCCTGTAACATCTGTACACACTATAAAACACATCATAAGATAATGTAATTATAAGTCTCTTACAGTAATATTTTAAAAAGTAATATTTAAAAAATATATATTATTACACTTTAAAATAAATGCTTTCTATTTTAATATATTTTAAAATGTAATTTATTTCTGTGATGTCAAATCTAAATTTCAGCATCAGTGTCATTCTAATATGCTGATTTGGTGATTTGATAATAGAAAATTCAAAAGAAAATAATTTATTCAAAATGTTGGTTTCATTTTAAAAGTCTTTGCTGTCACTTTTGATCAAATTATTACGTTGTTGCTGCATCAAAGTATTTTATTTAAATTAATTTACAAATCTTACTGATCCCAAACTTCTGGATGGGTGCATACAATCACTAAACTTAGCAACCACTTCAATCCAAACAAGACCAGATATTCTGAAGATTTGAGAAGCAGAAACATGGATACTGAAGATGGAAGTGACACAAATCCCCCAATGACTGAAAAATCTTAGATGAAAGAGAGATCATTATTTTCTCGGGCAGCTAATTTTCACTTACGGTACACTTTCATTTTTTTTCTTCACAATAAGATCAAAATTTAAATCACGCTGTCAAGTCCAAAAGAGAACGTTTATTCTGAAGCCTATTGACTGTTTCGACATCTGGATGTAATCAATATAATTATGAACACAACTACATATTTTATGGTCAGACTGCAAGTGTAATTCCAAACCAGAATGTATTTCAAACTGTCCATGTGCGCAAAATATCAAGATCATGGGAAATCTTTTTTGGCTTTAGAGATAAGGCAAAACAATTTGGTTCCCCAAACATTTAAACTCTTTCCATATCCTACACTAAAATTTCCCCGACACACTCAAATAATAACTACCTGGGAGTTCGATTTGTGCTTTCCATGTCATGGAATCTCCTCTCGTGTAAAACTCCACGTATCCGCCAAGAGGGTTGGAGTAGACAGAGAAACCACTCGAGAAGATTTTACCTCCGGATGCAATCGCAAAACGAGACTCTATCTCTTTGTTTTTCCAGAAGAAGGAGAACGTTATCCCTGTCCAGGAGTAACAGTTAAGTAAAGCTTTAATGTTGAACACAAGGTATTTTAACTTAAAGGAAAATAATACTTTACAGAGTATACAGGATTTAACAGATTTAACAGTGCAGTATGCTGTGATTAGAAGCTCAAATAATTGCATTTCTTTATTCAAAATTTCACTTTCAAATGTATCATATTATTTTTTATTATGAATTTGAATGTACATTTAAAATCAATATGATTTCCATAATCATCTGGCTCTCACCAAGCTCTTTTTCCGATACTTACTGATCTAACTTAACTAAACAAAAGCTTCTTTATTAGATCCAGGCTGCTTCATTACAAACAACATTACAGCAAGTCTTACTTTGGTCAAGCCCTGGAAAATAAATATAAATGCAACATATTCTCCTTTTTGCGAGCAAAAGAATGTGCACTGATGTGAGCAGATGAATAACAGATGATATCAGCTTTCACGCACAAAATGTTTGATGTAAGCTGATATATTTGCTCTTGAGAAATATAAACTTAATTTTGAACCATTAGCCTTTATTACGTCATGTATAAACCTGAGCAACACATTACTCAACTGTCATACATCTATGACCATATAAAGGTGCACTTCTATAACATCAGAAAAAGAGTGCATGAAGATGATAAAAACTCACCGGCAGGTCCACACAGAGTAGGATCACTTATGCAGGAGTCTTTATAGTTGCCAAAGTGAAGGTAAGTGGCTCCATTATCACCATTCAGATAGATGCCCTTATTCACCATTCCTTCTACAATGTCTACACAATGAAAGACCAACCAACAAGATTATAACACTTGCAATATAACATTTCAAAAACCATTACAGTTTATAATCACCTCATGCTAAATCTTTTGGGTGAATAATCATTGATAGCCGATCTGAAAGTCTTTATGGGGGAATCCTAACCTTTTACCCATATAGTAAAAATATGAGTATTTTGCTCCATCCTCTAGAACAACAAGAGCAGATCTCCTGAATTATGAGGATCTAAGGAATTCAAAATCCCCCATCTGAGCAACTGAACTGCAGATGATTCATGACAAGTTTTTCCTTTGCGAGGGCAGTGATTTTGGTCAATAAATCCTCCTTTGTTATACCTAAAAGCCAAGGCCAGGATCCGTGGATCACAATGGGAGCCATAGCACCATCGCACCTCATGAATGGATGAGTTGAGAGAAGAGATGATGATGGAAAAGAGTGCTCAGTGAAGACACAGTGAATGGCAGAAGACAGAGAGGAGACAGACTGAAGTGTGGAGCGAGTGAACAACAGCAGAGAGATAAAGAGGTACAGACTACAGAGGAGTGAACATCCATCTATGCAGTGAGATTCAGGGAATCGGCATGCCTTCGTGAACTAGATTTTGAGATTTACAGTAAAAAGGGGGAATCTGAATTACAATGTCACACAAGCAATCTGTGCTGATTTTAATGCTGCTTTCATATGCTATCAGAATGATCATAAATACAAGTTGCATAGAAGTGTCACTTGAAAACCCTACTAAATCACTAATTTGACTGGAAACTAAATTATAAAGTTATCAAGTTGGGATGACCAGTAACCTTTTTAAAAATGGAGCTTGCTAGCTGTTGCAGTTTCAGTCTCATTTATGTTTAAGTTTGGGGTAAGTAATTTTTTTTTTTTTTTTTTTTTTAAAGAAATCTTTTATTCAGCAAAGACATTAAATTAATCAAAAGTGACAGTAAAGAGATGTTACAAATGCTGAACTTTCCATTTAACAAATAATTTTGAATATGAAATATTAAGCAGAACAATTATTTTTATAACATTGATAATAATAATAAAAAATGTTTCTTAAGCACCAAATCAGCATGGATGAATCAGTAATGGCTGGTGAAACTTTAGCTCATTTTAAAATATATTATAATAGAAAACTGTTTTTTTTTATCATAATGTTTTACTGTATTTTTGATCAAATAAATGCAGCCCATTAAAAAAATCTTACCGACACCATGAAAACAGTTACAATGTTGCACAATCCAACATTGCAGGACTGTTATACTAAATAGCAGCACTCTTGCAACGCTGTTCGACCAATCAGATTCAAATCGTTGTATAATTGTTTTTTTGGCTGGGACATTTGTTTTAAACGAACTGACATAACAAATCACAGCGCAAACAGTAGATTTCCAAAATGGGGCAAGGTTTTCAAACGCAGTTTCACAAACACACTGGATCCAATAAAATCACTAGTAAATCTTGAAAGGTTTGATTTGGGTGAAGAATGCCAGATTAAACAGCACTAAACAATTCATGCTTCAATTACTCTAATGTAAATGGTCATATATCAGAGTTTTTTAGTTTATTTTCTCCTAATGATGTCCTGCTGATATACAAGGTCTACATGAATGTATAGGCCCTAATGCTGTTCTTTGAGACCCTAGCTGTAGACTAGTAAGTGAGTGAACGTGTGAGAGCCTCACCTACAGTGGCGGAAATGTTAGTGTAGGCAGAGTCATTGGTATACACAGAGGAAGAATTATGGGTAGTCAGGACAGTGTGGTTGTGGATTCTGACAGCTGTGATGGAGAGAATGTGGAAATAACAAAGAAAGTGAGACAGAACAAACAAAAAACAGGTGATTCAGCAACATACACATGTACAAATGAGTATAGAGACATGAGACGGGGAAAAAAGGGACATTGTGAGACACTCAGGCAGACATGGTGGACAAGATGACCAGTGTAACATTCAATGAGATTTTAACATATCTTTCAGGTCCGCACATGGGACAACACATTGTGCCGACACAAGTCCGAGAGGCCTAGCGAATTCCTCTCAGCCCTCCATTTGTTCAGAATTAGCCGGCACAGAACAAATGCCATACTGTACATATACTGGAAATATACTCCAGCTATGGAATAATGTGTGGAGGTTTGTCTTACATGCACAAATTCCTTATTTTCAACAGGTCTGTTTACCAACTGTATACCAAGGTGAGTTTGGTCCTCTAAAACTCCACTAGTAAATCACTGAGAGAAACTGTGTACCTTTGACACCCTTAAATGTCATAGTCAGTTGTCTTCATCACAACTGAGGTAATCATGCAAGTCCTCAACTTTTCGGCTCAAATAAGCAAATCAGTTCGTTTTAAGAGCTGAAGACAGCTGCAAAGCCACAGAGATTTCTGAAACTAAGACGTGACCATAGAAGAATGTTAAACAGCTGTGGTGACAGAAAGACAGACAGACAGACAGAAAGAAAGAAAGAAAGAAAGAAAGAAAGAAAGAAAGAAAGAAAGAAAGAAAGAAAGAAAAGCAGGTGTGACGTTTACATACTTATGTTAGTCCCATTAACATGACCTGTTCTGTTCCCAATCTGGTCCGATAGACCGTGGATCCCTTCCACTGAATCCAGTGGCCAGTAGTGTGAAGCCGTGGCCAGCACCTGCAGGCCTGAGAACAACATACACACATCCAAGCATGTACGTCATCAATGCAAATACTGTACACAAGTGAAGAAAAAAAAAACATTATAGTGAGAGTTTGTTGTCTCAATCCAGCATCATCATTTAAACGATTGTTTTCTGTTTATTTTTATTAAGGTTAACAGTTATGTAAATGATCTTCAGACAACTCTACTGTTTATGACTGGTTCAGTCCAGTTCAGACTCATCCCTGCTGGCCAGTTTTGTTTTTAATTTAGGCTTCAATTTGGAAAATTCTGTGTGCATGGTAACAAACATCCAGAAGAGTGCTTAACCTGGACTGTAAGGAAAGACCTCTTAGGACTTGCCTTTTGAGAATGAAATCTTGACATTTCTATCGGCATGCAAAGACAGCAATTTTAGTGGTTAATAATCTAAATATTTATATAATGAAACAAATTTATCAAAATTCCATAATTATTTATTTTAGAAAGTTGTCTTAACTCTTAATTGTATAGTAATACTTTTAGAAAGTATGTATATATATATATGTAGAAGCTGTGGATATTTGTAAACAGATTTAAATGTCGATGCTTCGTTTCGCTGCGATTACGGTGACGTATTCAATGTTTTAGGACAAGCAAGGGGGACATTAAAAAAGAAGACATTTCAACCATTTGTCTGTAAATCGCCAGTAAAAACTATCATTTTTATGTAAATAAAGTTTTTGTTTTGTTTTTTTTACTAGCCTAAAGGTTGCACTGAATTACCGGTAAATTAACCTTTTAAATTCAACACAACAACAACAAAAAAAAAAAAAACATTCATCCACATTTAAGATTAATTTCTTAGCTAGCCTACTGTTTAGTGTAGGCCCAAAGTTAACCAAAATAACGAATTTGATCTAAATATAGCTGCCAAATTTACGTTGAGTTCTGAAGAAAAAAAAAGTGAATTTTAATTTCTTTTACCTGGATGTTTTGACGGTGATACAGTGTCACTACGAACCTGAAAGAACTTAAAAAACATATTATAAATCACATCAAGCTATATTAAAAACAAATGTTTCTTCTGTCCAAAAAAATAATCTTACCTGAAATACGCTCAGGAGAGTCAGTAGGACTTTACAGTATATTAAGTCCATGGTTTAAAAAGAGTTTTCAGCAACAAAAGAAAGTTACAGTCTTCAAATCTATACTGCGCCGTTAATGGTCAAAGAACAAATCATTGCGCTTATATCAGAGTAAAGATATTTTTATGGTATTTTGCTAAGAAAAAAAAAGTTATGAGTGCGTCAGAATATGACGTTCAAAATGACCAGGCAGTAATAAAGATCACTTGTAATTGTTAACTAAATTCAGAGTTTGTAATCCATCGTTTAAGAGTCCGTTTGTAGCCTATCGCGCGCTGCGCTCGAGCTTTGATGAAGATGAAGAACAAGCGCTGAGCTCGCGCTCTCTTCAGTGGGTTGAGCCCATTGGGCGGTAAATGCTACTACATAACTGTTTCCTATGGGACACGAAGTTGTTTTCCTGCAGGGGGCGCATGTAGGCTCCTACATTAATTCCCATTTAAATATCAGGACATGTTTGTCTTAGCACATATATTCATACATTAGAGTTGCAGTGTAAATCTTTTCATTACAAGAAAACTGACATCAGAAAAGAATTACGTTCCGTCAATCTTTATAACCTTATATAGTAATCACAAGCAACAGTGATTGGTCCATACTGAGCAGCGTTGAGAATAGTAACATCTAGCCCGTGACAACGTCTTCTTCAACGATCTGGATTAACAACTGAATAATGACTCTGAGAAAAGTTACAATCTATTGAAATACACAGCAAACAATTAAAAATCATTACTTTTCGAGCAGTTAAAAATAGGCCAATTTTGAACAACCTTTCGAACTTTTCTCAGCCTCTTGACGTGGGAAATATAGACGAATGACGTCATTTTTAGATTAAAAAGCCCCAAGGTGGTGCTGAAAAAGAAAATGTTGTCCAATTATTTTTAATTGCATTTATAGCTAAATGTTTTTGGGTAGATTTGGAATGTTTTCTTTGTAAATGCTTAGGGATGAAAGTTTTCTTTTCTGAAAAAGATGCTTTTTTTTAATAGACAAAGATTAGCCTACCACCAAATGTGGCCTTCATTGTTTATCTTTGTTTGATTATGGGGAAATACCATATACATAAACAAAAATGGACTAAAGGAAAACCAAACTTTTTGTTATTTAAGATAGATAAGATCAAATACATTGAGTTACTACTTGGGTTGAATAATAGTAAAGCAAAACACACTAGGTCTCTATGTGAAGCTTTTATGCTATTTATATGATGATCTCATACCTGTTCTTTTTTCGGTTTATATTATTTTCAAGAAGAAACAAAAAGGTGGGGCTGCAGAGCTAAAAACAAATGCATGAGAATGTGTTAAGCTACTCTGGTAAAATATGAATGAAGGGACGAAAAAAAGTGTGTGCAGGTATATACATTTATTGTTTTATCTTGGAGTGTATGAGAAAGGAACCTTTGACCCTTGTACATTTTGTGAATTTGTGCACACCTTTAAAGGATGCAAATCACTACAAAGGCAGGCAATTCTTGACTTTGGGCGCCATCTATTGGAAGTACATGATTATATTGTATCAACCATCACCATTAGGCATTCACTCACCTGTAAAACTGTAGAACATTGAATATTGAGTTAATAGAATAAACACATACTACAGTGTGTATAAAATATCAAATTTATTTTGATATAAAACTGCACATGCACACTCACACAATATTTGATAACCATCAATATAGGCTTATAATCTTTTTCATAAAGCTAGCACACAATTGCAGACTTTAAAACATTATGGTTTGAAGACACCATGAGGATAGCTTGCACTGTCAGATTATAAAGTTTAATGTACAAAAAAGGCAGTCTGAAAAGCAAGTATAAACATTTAAAAAGAATGTACAAATGGACAAAAGTACAAAAAGAGCAGCAGTCACTCAAACATTTAGAAGCGATGTTCTGTAACATATCTTATGATTAAATGACTCGGCAAAAAAAATATACAGTTATTCTGATGAATTAAAATGCCTGGAATTTGGCTGTAAATTGTACAAGATATACAGAATGTTTCTCATACATTCCTGTTTTTTTCTTTTCTTTTGGCAGTCTCGGTCAATCCTTGCAAACCTACTTTAGCATGTTTGTTCAGGGCAAAATGTAGGGGTGAAATGACAAAAAAGAAAAAAAGATGAACAATGAATGGGGAACAAGTACAGACTGGATCAAATGGATCACGTATTGGAAACGGTTGGAAATGTTTCCAGAAAGATTTTCCTTGGCCATACATTCACAAATGCTCATTTCCTTCATCCTTATCAAGTACAGAATAGGTGCATCATTTTATTCAAATGGTTTGAATGCTGGGAGAGGCATCAGTGAGCCAAAAAACAAACTGATTTATGTAAAATTATGAATAAGTTGTGCTAAATAAGTGGAAATTAAGGGCCTTGTTTGTGAAAACATACAGAACTTCATGTGTAAATCGTGTATAAAAACATTCTTAAGTAAATTGTTGCATTCATTTGAACAATTTACATGAGAATGGATTTACGAACCATTTAAACGGACATTTGTTCTTTCCAAAGTGGTTTAAACAAGGTTAGAGTCCTCCCTCCCTACTTTTGACACACGTTGCAAAAAAACAACACAACACTTGGTCACACAGATTTGAAATACACTGCTTTTTCATGAGGAGGAAAACATCTACATGACTGCACATGACACAGACAGACGAATCTCACCCAGATGACTGGACACAACACAAACCATTGTGCATTGAATAAGGCAAATATGACGGGGCTCCACTAGGAGTTTCATGACCTTTTAGTGCTAAAACAATCCAGTCAAAAGTGGCAGAACATCCCCCCCCCCCCCCCTCCCCCTCCCCCTTATTTGTGCTAACTCCTACAAATTTGTGCTAGGTTATCTTTCTCTTAGAAAAGGAGCTCTAGATCTAAAATGTGCCAAAAATAGTTATAACATAATAATAATAATTATTATTTGTTATATTAAATTTAAGGGAAATGTATTTTTTTTTAATGTTTATTATTGTAGTTGTTGCTGCTTTTAATACATAATTAATAATAACAATACAATAATTGACTATCCCTTAAAATCAATCAAATAAAATATTATCCTAATTTAATACACATAGATTATATTTCATTATCCCTTGTACTGTATATTTAAGACATCAACTCACATTAGTGAGCATTAATATGTGCTTTTAAGAATTAAAAACGGGCAAACAAGACTTTGGAGTAACAGCTTCAATGGCATAAAGATGAAGTAGTGGTCATGAAAGCCCTAGTTTCCACCATTTCCCTTTCTCTTTTCCATGCCCAATTCATGTGATTACAGAAACAGAAGATCATGGGAGAAGTGTTATTTTATTTTCCCCACCTTCTCTTATAATTCCACTTTTTTCCTTAACCCGGCTGCCGTGAGGAGGGTTACTGTGTGTGAAACTATTTGACAGCACCAAGCCTTTTCAATAGATTCTTTCCTTTGGAGAGCAGTCCTTTTTTCTTAGAGTCAGCTCGGGGGCGCCGGAAGGAACTGCCGGGCCCCTGTGCTGCGGGGCCGGACCCCGGGATGTGTGGGCGCACTGTGGGGGTGGCACTTCTTCTGGGAGGGCCCGCTTTTTCCACGGGAACCTAACGGAAGACCCGCAAGGGACAGTTCAGGGCTGGATGTTTAAAAAGAAAAGAAAGTGTTTCTTTGCCTTTTAAAGCATCTCAACGTCATTACTGTACAACAGACACTCCCATCTCCTCTCACAGTCCTTTCTGTCCCAGAAGGGCCACCATACAGTCAATTATGAATGTATAGTACATTTTGCATCATAAAATAATACATCCAGCCAATAGGGGGCGGCACTCTAAACAGTCATCTGTGGGAATCGTTTTAGTAAAACTGCAAAAATAAAAAAATATGCTTCACTTCAAAAAACTAAACTCTCATTAAAACATTAATAAACCTGTTCAGACTGCAAGTGCAACAAAATAATCATAAGAAATTGACTGTTTTTACACAGTGACATGACAGTAATCTCATTTTTAGTGACAATGAACTAATTATGAACTCCTTAACAGCAAAAACACTTTAACATGCCATACTTTCCCCTTCATTTTAGTTGTATAGTTGCACAACAACACATCATTATGAGTATTTACGCTAACAGTGACAATCTATAATGGCAATGAAAAGAGAAGATAAGTATTTAATTTACCAGTCTTTTGAAGTAATCTATCACCTTTCAGCATGGTAACTTCACCAAGGGTGTTGGAGCCAAATCAAACCTGCTTTAAAAAAGCTTCATTTACAAAAGTGGCTGCAAGAACGCATAAACTTAAAATAAAAATCACTTCAATCAAATATATATGAGAATAGAACTACAATCTACGCTTTAGATGGATAAGGGTGAGAATACTTATGCTTGTTTGAGTTCACTCCTAGAGTTAATGGAAATAGTGCACCCCACACACACACCTGTATGACCTGGCTGACCTTGCCAATGTTTCAGTATTCATTTTGAAATAAAAATTTAAATAGTGTGAATTCGTGCTCAGTGCAGTATGATAGGGTGCACGTCCACAGGAGAGGAGAGGGTTTGTCCCAGGGCTTACACTAGGAATCTACTAAACTGCACACATTAGAAAAGAGAAGGGGTGGGGGTAAGGGGGTCAGGGGTCCAATTCTGACCGTGCAACAATGGCCTTATAGCTTTTTAAGACTTACAGTAGGAGTCAATGAAAGACGAACATAATAATGGACAACACCCAGAGAAACAACTGAAGATACCAGCTGTGCCTGTCTAATGCACTGACAGCAGTGGACCAATCACAGCTCTCTGAGCAGTGCTACTTGTAGTACTGTGAAACTGATGCACAAATATACAGTATGCCATGAGAATTCCAGGTCATGAGAATTATAGGTGTGTTTTGATGAGTGTTATGTGCCTTGTCTCTGCATGCATGTGTATGAATGCAAATGTGTGTGCCTACAAAGAATGTCAATGTAACCCATTATTTTAGTGTGAAATTGAATTCATAACAAATATTATAAATATACATCTTTTAATTATTATTTGTTTTTTAAAATATATATATACTATAGAGTTTAAATAATATTTAAATTATTTAATATTTAAAATATATATTTAAATAATATAAAAATATTGAAATTACAAAAAGTAAAAATGATATATTAATAAACTATGAGTTATAAAATAAAATAGTACAAAATAAAATGAAATAATTGCAAATATACGTAAATTCTGTGTTAGATTTTTCTTACATTTGAGCAATTAGAGCCAGATAAACAATTTATTGTAACTTTTTTTGTAAATGCTTGGTGTTAATGTGCCGTATGTGCATGTTTTATGCATACCAGGTGCAACAGTAATAAGGACCCGTGTCGTATGCATTAGACGAAGACAGCGCTATTCGTTGTATCCTCTGTTGCTCACTTACGTGACAGATACTGAGCCGTTACGGAGTGAAATGAACACTCTTCTTCTGTTTTGCCAAGCAAGTGAGGAAAAAAAAAACAATGCCATGATGTAATGCATCTCAATTGTCTTCACAATGAATATGAAAAAACAAAATCACCAAACTTTCAGTACAGAAAAACCTTGATGGGTCCTGATGATTGAGCAGAACATCCATCAGCAATTATATTTTCTTTTTTCTCTTTTCTTTTTTTTTACAGTCCATTGTACAATATCTACATCTACAGATAAAATCATTCTTGATACCTCTCTCTACTTGCAACATTTGTTTTGTGTCTCTCTGTAAGTTGATAGTCTTATATATCAGCAATACAAAAACAATTCTTTTGGAAACATATACAAAAGGATTTAAGGTTCGTTTTTTTTTAACTGGTCTCAATCCATTAAAGCACCTAAAAAAGTTTCATGGTGGCGTTGAAGCATTCTGAAAGTAAAAGCATGCAGTTCTACAGTTCTACATGGTTTCAGTTCTCTGTACATCAAAACTATCTCCTCTATTATAAATTGATTTCACGTTTAAACACAGTTACATTCATAAAGCATCAATTACAATGCTTCACTTGTGAATTAAGTAAAAAATAATAAAGAGTCTTTTAGTGCTTCTTTTCCCATAAATAATAACAATAAACTAATAATCTGGCACGTCTCTTTGCGCGAATTCTTTTTTCAAACAATGCTGTATGAATATGCAATTTCATTAACAGTTCACATTTCTCCTCAAATGCTTCCGCTGAGCATCTGACATAAAAATAAAGGTTCCTCAGTCTTGCATTTAACGGTATGTCTCTGTGTTTAGTAAGCTGTCTTCATTTCTCTTTTCTTTTCTGTTTTCCTTCAATGATCCATCAAAAAAGCAACCGGCTGTCACACAACACAAACACAGACGGAGAAGAGGAAAAAAACAGCGGAGCAGGAAGAAGATTAAAATAAATGGATGACAGAGGGCTAGTGTGTAACAGGATGTACCCTTTTGTTCTTTGTCCGGGACGGGTGGTCCTGGGGGTGACGGCTCGGGGTGTTTGTGAGGTAAACCTCCACATCATCAGGCACTTCTTCAAGAAAATTGGAGGGGACCAAACCCTTGTGTCCATTGAGCTCCCCCTGAATGGAAAACAGAGGATATCACGCACCTATGGCTAAATCCCAGTGTGGCAGCTCTCCTGTGTTCAAAGTCAATAGTAGGAATAACCTCAAACATGAAGGATCACCATTAGGTGTTTTTTAACTGCTGGCCACTGAGGAAAACGCATTTGCGGAAAAGTATAGTGTTTGCACCAAAAACACAGGTGGTGTGAATAATCTACTCACATAATAAAAGCCATCCTCATCGATCTCTCCAAACACTGTGATCACATCACCTGCACAAAACGTCAGTTCAGCCTGAAGAACAGAAAGAGAAAAACATGTTAGATTTCAGTCATCATTCATAACTGTCACAGAGCTAATTTAATATGCAAAAATGCAACAGTTACAACCACAATGTAGATCTATCTATCTATCTATCTATCTATCTATCTATCTATCTATCTATCTATCTATCTATCTATCTATCTATCTATCTATCTATCTATCTATCTATCTATCTATCTATCTATCTATCTATCTATCTTAAAAAAAGCTAAGAAATATCAGATATAAAAAAGAGACACTACGTTCCCTATTAGAATGAAAATGAAATCTAATCTTTTATAGCAAAATTCTTTAGTTCAGGTCCAAAACAACATCCACCAAACTAATGAAATACAAACACAGATCAACCAACACTGGGCAAGGCAGGTCCTCTCTGGGAGACTGTGAGCTGTGTTCACAAAACCACAGTGATTGTGTAACCCTTTACCTCCAGTCCAACAACAGCAAAACACACACACAGAGAGTGTCACAAATAACCATTCCATATTCCTTTCATAGGAACTCACTCACTTACAGCGGAGCAAATTTTACGACAGCCTGTCACAAAGCCTTCATAAACACATTATAATGATTCATAATATCCAATAAATGCATGCATAAACATTGGAATTAATTTAAGTGCATATTTTGTTCACTAAAGCATGACTCATGAAACACAAGGCTTCCTATTAGGGGTGTAACGATACCCTCATGTCACGATTCGATACATATCACGATACTAAACTCACGATACGATATTATTGCGATACTCCAAGACATATGATAAAGGGCTAACAAAAAATGTACTGTTGATTAAAATGCTAAATTTGATATTACATTGTGGGTTTAAATGAATAGGCTTGGACTTGGTGCTTGTAACCCAAGGACAATGGTGACACCAGAATAAAAATATTCAAGATTCTGAAGCTGAAAATACTGAATTATTTTAGATGAATATGCTTGCACTCTTTCACTGACTAGATATATTTAAAATAATGTCGGCCACTTTTTACTGGTAACATCAGACATTTGGCATTATCAGGACCCACAAATATTCCCAGATTGCATTATTATACATTATAATTAACATTATATATAGTAGTTTAATGTAGTACTGACACTAAAACTCTGAAAACTTGAATTTCTTTCTCACACAGTAATTTTTATTTTGGGGGGACTATCCACGATACATATTGTCACTATCCACGATACGTATTGTTGCATTTTTGTATTGCGATATATTGTGACACGATATATTGTTACACCCCTACTTCCTATAATGCTTATGCTAAGAGAATCATTCATCAAGCATATTATGAAGGCTCTAAAACACATTCAGTACACAATGCAAATGTATTGTTCATGCATTATGATGTTGGGGCCCCAAAAGTGAGATGTCCACAAACAGTACAGGGTGCTGATGCAGTGCAGTGAGCTCCCTCAGCAGGAAATAGAGTGTCATTTGTCACAGGCCCAGTGAGTGTAGACTCACTACTTCCTTCCACACTCACCTCCTCACTCTGCAAGCTGCCCCCATAGCGGGCCTGTGCGCCAGCGGCAATGCAAAGGTGACAGTAAGTGACAATGGGGTGTAAAAGACTTGAAAATACTATTACTAATAATAATATAGAATTATTAGCAGATCTAATATTGTTTGTTCACTGAGAATTTCTTTAAATTAAACTGGAATTTTAACTGGACAAGTTCGATCGGTGTTGACTACTGAGGACACATTTTACCCAATTATGTATTTTTAAATGTTTCTTTTTTAACACTGCTGTTTCTTTTTTCTGCTTAGATTTATCTTTTTTTATGATTAAGATCTTACATAAAGTAAAATTACATTTAAAAAAAATGAACACAAGTAAATATGTAAAAAAAGCACAGCATGATTTATGAATGACAGCAGACCTGGCTGGTAAGTTTTTTGTTATTCTATTTTGACGCACTCTAATGGATAAATTCGGAAGTTCAAATTACCAACTGGGTGAAGTTTAATTGTTTTATGTTAAAATGCTTTCTACTGTCCAAAGCCAAAACAGCTAAATTGGCTCAACCAATAGCATGAGTTTGAGTGGGACTATTTGTTATTTGGTAAACCAGTGTTATTATTGTTAACTAAAACTATTAAAATGTTTAAATTTAAACTAAACTAAACTTCAAACTAAAATTATAAATGTTGCATTGACTGAAATAAACATGTTTTACTTAAATATATTTAAGTATTCTTAAGTATAATTTGAGTATTATTTAAAAAAATGAATAAAAAAGACAGTGCATAACAAAATGAATGAAACTTTTGTAAACCTTGTTCCCTAAAGGAGGGAACAGAGACATTGCGTCGATAATTACGTATTGGGGTCTCACTTGGGACCCCAATCACCTTCGGGTAGAAAGAAAACAGGCCAACAAACATTGGCAAGTGAGATTTGCATTGCAAGCCACTCCCCTGGACATATGGGCATATAAGCTTGCTGGCAACTCACTCATTTAGGTTTGTGCTGAGGAGCCGAGATGGGATCCAGCAGGTTGTACAGTTGAGAATTTGAATGCCCACCTCCCTTTGTGAAGATGCAGGGAAACAGGGACAGCCCAAAGGGGAGGACCTTGTACTAGTATGTCTCACCCTCGAAAGCAAACCATAGGAATAGTCTGTGTTGAGGCAAAATCGAAACATGGAAGTACGCGTCCTTCGGGTCAATCGCTGCAAACCAATCTTAGGGGCAAACGCACGTGAGGATGAGTTTCTGCGTTAGCATCTAGAACGGGTGCTTGTGAAGGGCCCGGTTCAAGACACACAGATCCAAGATCGGCCGTAACCCACTGCCTTTCTTGGGTAAGATGAAGTACGGGCTGTAAAACCCTGACTACTTCTTGGCTGGAGGGACCAGCTCCATTGCGTTCTTCGCCAGCAGGACCACAATCTCCACACGTAGGACAGGGGCATCTTTGTTGGCCACTGAGGTAAACAGGACGCCGCTGAACCTGGGGTGACACAGGGCGAACTGAATTGCATAACCAAGTCTGATCGTCTGAATGAGCGAACGAGACGGGCTGGGAAGAGCTAGTCAGGCCCCCACACACTGTGCGAGTGGCACCAATGGAACTACAGACGTATACGCGGAGAGGCAGCGAGGTGGAGCACTGGGGTCCAACCAGAGAGGCGTAGCGCCCCGAAGTAGAGGCAGTGAGGGAGGTCTGATAGCATAAACATCCCGCAGGGGCAATATGTGTTTAATCTTTCTTCTGTACTGCTGAGAACTGCTGAGCAAAGTCTTCAACAGTGTTGCCGAAGAGGCCGGCCTGGGAGATGGGGGTACTGAGAAAACGAGCTTTGTCTGCGTCCATCTCAGCCAGGTTCAGCCAGAGATGGCATTCCTGGGGCCGGTTGCTTAAACCTCTAAGACTAGTCTTACAAGTTAGACATTTTTTTTTTCTTTAAGACTATTCATAACTTTTTAAAATCAGTTACATAAAATTGTAGATTTTGACCTAATTTGATACTGAAAAGTAACACTGACTGCCCCTGACTAACTGCTAGTGGGTCATACTAGAACTTAAGACACTGTCTTAACATAACGGCTGTTTATGCAACCAGCACCTGGACAAACAAGGTGGACATAGTCTGGCCAAGGGCCAGGTCAGTCGCAGTTCTTGCAACAACCCCGGCTCAGAATTACCCTCGTGCAGCTCTTTTAGTGCTTTGGTCTGATGGACTTACAGGAGGGCCATAACATGCAGGGTGGAGGCAGCCTGTCCAGGGGTACTATAAGCCTTGGCGGCAAGAGCTGCCAAGAACTTACAGGCCTTGGATGGGTGATTCTGCCAGGTGGCGGCACTTTGCAGGCATAAATGCACCACAATTGCATGCTCCTCCTGAAGAATCTCGGCGTAACTTTTGACCTCCCCACCATCGAGGGGAGTGAGAGCGGAGGAAGCAGTGAAGCAGCTTCGGGCAGTAAGAAGTGCCTTCCAAGACTTCGTGACCTCCTCATGCACCTCCGGGAAGAAAGGTACCGGGGCAGGACGATGCTGTGCAGCACGCCCCGTGCTGAGAAACCAATCATCCAACCTCAAGCGTTCAGGGCCGACTGTAGAAGTGTCTCCTCTCAAAGTGAAGGTAAACGGCAAAGTGCTTTGAAACAACCGCTCTGCTCTAAAGCAATAAGATGAATGAGTGAGTTTCCGGCAAGCTTATACACCCGTTAGTCCGGGGGAGTGGCTTGGAATCGCACTAGCCAATGTTCACTGGCCCGTTTTCTTATTACCCAAAGGCTTCCAATTGAGACCCCAATATGTCAGTATCGACGTAACGTCGAACGTGACTGACTCAAGTGACGTGGGAACCAAGTCATACAGGATTAAAACAACATGATAGTAAGTAATGACAGGATTTTCTTTTTTTTGGGTGAACAATCTTTAAACAGAACTAAATCTTTAGAGCTGCCATATGCCATCTGAATGAATAGTAACATAAAAAAATACAAACCACATTGTTGCCGCAAAAGCAAAGACAATAGGCTGAAAATGAATTTGGTGGCTTTTACAGAGGCAGGCATCCAGGCAATCCAGCGTAAAATCAAAAGCTTATGGGATGAGACCATAAGTGCAAGAAAGCACAGACAAAAAGGACTCCATTACCTCCACATCGACGTTAGGAGAGCTCTCTCTGGGATCATAGTCATATAGGGCCACCATCCTCCGCGTCGACACCGCCTGCTGCCTTCCACTCCTTTTGTTCCTTTCTGAGAAAAAAAATATGCAAGAATAGATGGATAAAACAAATAAGTTCTGGAGAGAAAGAAAACAAAAAACAAAGTACTATTTGATATTTATTTTGAACATTAAAATTAAGAAATTACAAATAAATATATAAAAAAGAAAAGCATGATTTATGAATGACAGCAAGCCTGGTTGTAATGATGACAGCAAGAATATGATGCCCTCTTATGGATAAATTCAGAGTTGCATATTACCAACTTTCAAGGTGAAGTGTATTTTTTTTATGTTAAAGCTAGGGTAGGCAATTTCGGAGAGGCTAGCAATAGCAAGCTAGCTTTGAAAGCATAAGATCCCACCCTCCCATCAGACAGCTCTCCAAAGCCACGCCTCCTCCAAAACACATGAACGCGCACAGCCAGAGTAGAGTCTGCAAAGCATCACGAGAGACTGCATTAAATTACCTTACTCAAAGCACATAACATTACAATAATAGTGAACGATAAATAACTTTGAGCTGACTTGTACCACCTGACTGCTGCAGATTCATGCTGCAGATTCAACGTCACGGGTTGTCATCTCTTAATAAAGGTAGTTATGGAGTGAAAGCAGCATAAGCTTGTTGTTTTGGTTCAAAATAAACTGTAAAAGTTGGCTGCTGTTTGTTTGCGGCGTTCAGTGACTGTCTGTCTACAACTCTGCATAGCCTTTCGGAATGCGCTGATGACGTGTGATGTCTGCGCGAGCAGGGTGCGCAGAAGTATGCAAATACATATGTTGACAGGCAGGTAGGACATCGTATAATTGCATTCAGACAAACATTTTCTGGTCCTGAGACTTCCACAGAAGACATTTTTTTTTAATACCTAGATCACTTCTTTTATTGATTGCTATCAGGATGTTAAGAGAGTTTCAACCAGAATTACAAAAACTGTTTATGGGAAACATTGTCTACCCTAGCTTTAAAAAAAAATTAAAATCTAAAGATTTCAAGAGTTTTGACTAATTTTTAGGACAACAAAAGGATTTTTAAAATTCTACAAAATGACACATGCAGCACTTTTTCTTGAATGGCTCAAAATAAATACACAAGTCATGACATGAAAAAATAGAAGGCACGTTTAGTAGTAAATTCAAAGTTGCATATTACCAACTTTTTTAAGGTGAAGTGTCATTTATTTTATGTTAAAGATATTTTTACTGTTCAAGTCATTGGACTCAACCATTGGCAAGAGTTTTGATAATTTGACTGCTTTTTAGGACAATCAAATGATTTTACAAATTCTACAAAATGAAACATGCAGCATTTTTTTTCTTGAATAAATACTCAAGTCATGATATGAAAAAATAGAAGACACATTTAGTAGTAAGTAGGAAAGTTTCTGTGGGGTCCAAATGGTATACATGGTATTCTCATTTAAAATGGAAATAAAGTTTCTGTACTAGGTCCCCAATCAAAGTAAATGAGTGACATTGATCATGTGAACTCCTCTGTATAAACGGTCAGATGTTTCTGTTTCCATTAAAGCACAAGATGCTCTAAAAGACAAAATCCAGAACTTTTCAATAGTTGCAGACTTTTGGACCCCACTGTTCAATCTGCATTATTTCCTGTATGAGGTGTCAGTGGGAACAGAAGAATAAGTCATGCTGACATTTAAGTGTCATTCAAGTGATGAAGGTAAACTTGGAGGTGAGCTGAGAAAAGGCACTTAAGTGAAAAAGAAAAGATGGGTTGAATGAGAAAACTGATGAAAAAAAAGATGGGGGCACAAACCTCTCTTGGATTTCCGGGACCTGCGATTAATTGAACGGCCATCTTTGAACCTATTACAGTTCACTTGAGAAAAAAAAGAGGAAAGCAAGAAAGAAATGGAAGAGAGAGAGGAAAGGATGAAGGCAAGGAAGGCAGAGGATTTAAAGGAAAAATCTGCCTTTGACATTCTTCTATATGACTTCTTTTGTTTTCCGCAGATGAAAGAAAGTCATATGGGTTTAGAACGATATGAGTGATGACAGAATTTTCATTTTTTTGGTGAACTATCCCTTTAAGGGTTCTAAAATGAAAACTATGGAACAGGTAGAGGATTTGCAGACAAGCACCATGTTTAATCTACTTTAAAACAAATCAGAACAGAGAAAGGAAAGAGAAGGCAGAAAATGAAGAACAGAGGGTAAGATGGGCAGGGGTCAGCACACCTGTTAGATCATACCTATTTTCTCAATGGGCGTGTTGAGAGGAAGAAACCCCTGTTTGAGTAGCTGGTCCATCATGTCATCATCATCCGTCTGGATCTCTGAGACCATGTTACAGGGGATGAGCCCCCTGCGGCCACAGACCTCTGCTCTATAGAATCCATCTGTGTCCTTCTCTCCAAACACCTGGACAACACAGCAGGGCCATAATTAAACTCATTTCATTGCATTTTTAATTACACTCTCTCTAATGTCCTCTACTCAATTTGGTACAGTAGCACTACATCTAATGCTTTTTTTTATCGTGGATTATTCAGTTATGCTTCTATAACTTTCATTTGCATAAAAGCGCTAATTAAATAAATGCAAATGGCCACCGAATTCTGAAAGTAAAAATAAGTACATTGGAATAGCAAGACAGCAATGGACTGACTTTAACTAGAAAAGAACAGAACATAACTTACAACTAACAATGTACAAAGTATTATTTATACAAAATAAATAATTCTAAAGCTATATACATATGTATAGATATAAAAGGATTATACTGATTATATACTGTAAATCTGAATAATAAATGATATACTAATTTTAAAATAATGAACTTATATTGAAAAATGAGCACTTATAATTTTTATAATAATTTTATGAGACTTATAATTTCATATTATAATTTATAATTGAATTTAATATTAGCAATTATATTGATACATAAATACATTAAATATAATTATAAATTAAGGATATCAGTCAAAATTCCTGTATTATTCCATACCTACATAGAATTAGAATACAACTTTTGAATATAAAATTAGCTATGCAAAGTCTTTTTAAACATTAAAAAAATATAATGGCTAAATAATTAACAAATATTTCTATATATATAAAAAAACAAATCTGATTAAATACTCATTATATATTGCTACATTCGTATTGAAATGTATATTTATAATTTAACAATCAGAATGTTTAATACTGCCAATTTATACATATACAGGGCCTAAAACTAACTTTTTGCCACACCTGCCAATGGGCGGTGACTTAAGAAAATGTATATTATAATTATATATTAAATATAATTAAATTAAATATATTATTAATTTTTGCCAGCCATGACACAAAAACAGCCAGTTATGACACCAAGATTTGATTAAAAATGTTACTTTTAATATTTGCAATTATATAGGTACATTGATACATAAATACACTCACCTAAAGGATTATTAGGAACACCTGTTCAATTTCTCATTAATGCAATTATCTAATCAACCGATCACATGGCAGTTGCTTCAATGCATTTAGGGGTGTGGTCCTGGTCAAGACAATCTCCTGAACTCCAAACTGAATGTCAGAATGGGAAAGAAAGGTGATTTAAGCAATTTTGAGCGTGGCATGGTTGTTGGTGCCAGACGGGCCGGTCTGAGTATTTCACAATCTACTCAGTTACTGGGATTTTCACACACAACCATTTCTAGGGTTTACAAAGAATGGTGTGAAAAGGGAAAAACATCCAGTATGCGGCAGTCCTGTGGGCGAAAATGCCTTGTTGATGCTAGAGGTCAGAGGAGAATGGGCCGACTGATTCAAGCTGATAGAAGAGCAACTTTGACTGAAATAACCACTCGTTACAACCGAGGTATGCAGCAAAGCATTTGTGAAGCCACAACACGCACAACCTTGAGGCGGATGGGCTACAACAGCAGAAGACCCCCCTGGGTACCACTCATCTCCACTACAAATAGGAAAAAGAGGCTACAATTTGCAAGAGCTCACCAAAATTGGACAGTTGAAGACTGGAAAAATGCTGCCTGGTCTGAAGAGTCTCGATTTCTGTTGAGACATTCAGATGGTATAAGAATTTGGCGTAAACAGAATGAGAACATGGATCCATCATGCCTTGTTACCACTGTGCAGGCTGGTGGTGGTTGTGTAATGGTGTGAGGGATGTTTTCTTGGCACACTTTAGGCCCCTTAGTGCCAATTGGGCATCGTTTAAATGCCACGGCCTACCTGAGCATTGTTTCTGACCATGTCCATCCTTTTATGGCCACCATGTACCCATCCTCTGATGGCTACTTCCAGCAGGATAATGCACCATGTCACAAAGCTCGAATAATTTCAAATTGGTTTCTTGAACATGACAATGAGTTCACTGTACTAAAATGGCCCCCACAGTCACCAGATCTCAACCCAATAGAGCATCTTTGGGATGTGGTGGAACGGGAGCTTCGTGCCCTGGATGTGCATCCCAAAATCTCCATCAACTGCAAGATGCTATCCTATCAATATGGGCCAACATTTCTAAAGAATGCTTTCAGCACCTTGTTGAATCAATGCCACATAGAATTAAGGCAGTTCTGAAGGCGAAAGGGGGTCAAACACAGTATTAGTATGGTGTCCCTAATAATCCTTTAGGTGAGTGTATAATGATCAATTAGTGGTAACAGTCAGCATTTCTGTATAGGTGCATCCCTAATAGGAAAGACAAGAAAAAAATAAATAAAGTAAAAGTTGAAAAAAAGAAAGAAAAGCAAACTGTGGAATTAAATGACAGTTGAGAATTGCTTGACATCAGTCAGTTCATATCAAACCTTTATGATCTGGCCCTCCTTGAAGGGAAGTTCCTCTACAGCAGCATCAGGGTTGGGAGACATTGACAGGGGGTCGTAGTCAAACATGGCCACAAATATTCTGGAGTCTTCTGGCTCCGACTCCTCATAGTAGTCTGAAGACCGCCGTTCCCGTCCACCATAACCATCTGAAACAGAAAAGAGGGCAAGCTTCTGCTACACACAGAAATCAAAGGACAGATAAAGCCCCAAAAAAGACAATAACACATTTAGCCTTATCTACTTCTACAGAGGCATCAGTCCAAATCTGTGACATGCAGCTAAACAATGTTTAGAAAATGATATAAAAGTATGATGCTACATGACTATATGATATACGATTTCTTTTTAAAAAGAGGCAAAAACACATATTAACATAATAAACTCATAAAATGTTAATCACACCTGATACAAATGTTCCCTATACAGTGAAATTATCTGCCGCACAGCATATGAGTGGGGTAATATGCGAGCATATTGAAAACAGTAAGAACACGTTTGAAATGGCCATGCATGTTAAAAAAACAAGGGAAGGATAAAACATTGCTGTTTTACTGTAAAAACATACAGAACTTTCCTGGACAGACATGCAGCAACTCATTAGTAATACTTCACTGGAATGATCCACTCAAAATCATTCAAAACAAATTAGGTATCGCAAAACACTTTTCTGTTATCTTGTACCAATGGCTGTTAAGATAGTAGTAAACAGTAGACCATGCCAGTTAATTAGAAGTGTATATGGATCTGATAGAAGTGAATCATGCACCCAGTTACTGATAAGAATATGCAGAACATTCACAAGCAGCATTTAAAACCACAGCTGGGACAGGGGTGAAGACATCTCTGCTCTTATGGTTAGCAGTCACACAACATCCAACAGTAGAAAGACATCCATGCAAATAAAACATTCGAGGATCTCAAAGGAACACTTTTGAAAGCTCCGTAAAAGATGGGCGATCAGGAAAAAGAGGAGGAGAAGAGGGGTTCACAAACACTGTCTGGTGTTTTAGACCACACGATAAGCACAAAGAAAGGAGCAATCACCCTTAAAAAGACCAAAATCCAAACCCTAATCCTAATCATGTTTAACTAAAATAAAGACAAATTACCATGTGGAAATAATGAAGGTGAAATAAATGTAGAAATTGCCTCTTGATTAAAACCTAAATAAACATATAAAGATATATAAAAATAGCTCAATAAATATTCTCATCCATACTGTCTTCCAAATGTTAACGAGAGGCTTCCACATGTCTATATGGTAAAGGCAGCTTCTGTTCTTTTTAAGATCAGCAATACAAGTAAAGCTCTAGTGACTGCATTTGAGATTTGTAAGTTACTGTGTTAACATTCCAGGTTAAAAGAAATGTGAAGTTTGTATTTTTGTCTAAATACTGTAAATGTGTTGTTTGAGCTGTACAATTGTCCCAGTTTTCTTTTAACGCTGGGACTACTGCTGAAGAATGAACTTCTATGTAGTTATAAACAGTACTTTATGAATACTTCATGACCTGCTTGTGTCCCTTTCTGGTATTCTTTTGTGAATTTGGTGATCGAGTTTTAGGTTTAAGGGCCTCAGCATGGACATGACGAGCTGAATAAGTGGATATGACTTTATTTAGACAAGGTTAGTAAAGTGATACCACCATACTAGTCTCATGTAAACGTGTATTATGTTTGATTCTTGTGACTTTACTTCTGAGAAAATGTGTTTTTTTTTACCATTTATTCGAGTGGACTTTTTTGGGTCAAAATGTTTGTCTGTGGTAAACAGCATGTCACAAAAGCAGTCAATAGAGTTTAACTTGTATTAAGATTGAAAATATCCTTTAAAGACCCCATTAAATCACTCGAAAAATGTAGTCTGCTTTGCTGTATTGATGTTTTTTACTATTGAAACGGGAAGTTTGGGCAGGACAAAAATTTGTGCAAAATGAGCTTACTTGATATATACTGTTAATTTTGTCAGCATTTATGAGTGGACTAGCATGACCACTGGCCTCTTACACCAAGCTAGTTGAACAAACTCTGAGTTTCAGAGTAGGTTTAGAGTTTACAAAGTCAAACAAATCCAACCCGGTTAAGATCAGGTTCAGCTGGTTCATAATACTCGCTATAATTCTCTGTCAACTCAGAGTTTGATCCACCTGTGATACATTTACATTTACATTACATTTACATTTATTCATTTAGCTGATGCTTTTATATGTCAGAGGTCGCACGCCTCTGGAGCAACTAGGGGTTAAGTGTCTTGCTCAGGGACACATTGGTGTCTCACAGTGGATTCGAACCCGGGTCTCTCACACCAAAGGCATGTGTCTTATCCACTGCGCCATCACCACCCCTAGATGGCATCACCCCTAGTGGTGATACAGCATGTGCACCTGAAAGTTTGACATCTGCAGCGAATACCCAATCACACCAAACATGAAAAGCATCAGTCTGATTTACTTCTCGTGTAAGAGCCAGCACAATTAGCCAGAATAAAATCTGCTTCGGAGCAGGTTAGCCATGTAGAGTACGTTACCATGAACATGAACACAGCAAAAAACAACAACAATACATCTTCTTGAAACCAAAAAATCTGACTCTAAACTAAAACTTACCTGGGAAGCCACTTAAACATCTTTACAAATAGGCCACTAAAATTAACAGTCATAGACTAACGGTACGTTTACACAGCAACGATATGCTTAAAACGGAAAACGATCCCCATTCACACGGATACGCGAAAACGACTAAAAACAAACCCTGTATTCTGCTGCCAGGCCGTTAGATGGCATTAAAACACTATAGAGTAGACTGAACATAAAATATGCATGTTCATGACGTCATTGTCTTCAGAGATTCGTTCGAAACTTGCACCAAAAACGGCGCTTTCGTGTAAACGAAATACATTTTTTTACGTTTTTAGTTGAAAACGGTGTTGTGTAAACAGCCCCTAAACGCCACACAATTCTCACTTTGATTTAATGGGGTCTTTAAACAAGATACTCTTGTAAAAATCTGATATATCAGGTCAAATTGTTCTGGGAATTTTTGTTAGATTTTTTTTTCATGGAGGAGCCACGCCACATACCATATCGTTCCTCAGTTCGCTGTGGGGGCCATTTCCTGCGGTGGGCTACATTGGTATAGTAAACATCATCCTTGATAGGTGAGAGGTTCCCCTCACTCCCCTCACTGTTATTCTCCACGGTGATTTCTAAGGAAACACCAATCAGAGCATTACATCCACACCCCCTCTACTCAGCCTGTGAGTTGTGGATTCTGATGTTTTCAAAGCTCTCTAGATGTGATTTAGGATCAGAAATGCCATTCTAATGCATTAGTCAAAATGACGTACTGATTTTAAAACAGTATTGAAAGCCAGCTGACTCGAGTTGCTCCAGAGTAAAACAGCAATGTTCATGAGGATGCTTTTTTAGGTGGTGATGTGTGTGCCCTGTTAGGAGTACCATCTGATAACTAGAATAAAGCAGTTGAATAACTCTTCCTCCTTTTATTATTTGTGAATCTGAAACAGGATGAATGGCAGAGGCCAACCAAAAGTGACGGGGTACATCAAGGGACTCCTAGGACCTAAAGGCCTATATAACTGTCATCATGACATGTACTGTAAGGAAAACAGAGGAACACACAACAGGAGTCTCTATGAAAGATAGTAAAGGAAGGGAGGGAGAGTCCAAATATATGACCTCACTAACCAATGGAAGGGACTGTCATTGGTCTTCTCTGAGAGGGTGGACAGCCATGATTTGTCCTACGGCCGGAATGGTCCAGTCGATCCGAGCGTCCCGTTGAGGGAGAGCTCCCTAAAATCTTCAAAAGTAAACATTAAAATGTTAATCAAAGTCTGTGGAGTCTTAAAAATAGATATCCTATTAAAAAAAATATTCCCATCAACCCCAAAACAAAAAAACAAAAAACTGATTTCTTTAGAGAACGAGATTCTAGTCCCAAGTGAAATCAAAACAAGGAGGATGAACCCGCCAAAACATTTAACATAAACAATTGAAACAAACTCTGACAACAACATGAGCAGGGTTTTGGCAGAAATCAGATGCTTAGCTAAAGACCATTTTGGTTTTTGTTCTGCTCCTCTTTAGTTCATATGGGATAGTTTTAATGTAGTTTGTGTGATATGAGCATTCTGATTCATATAATTCTACATTGTGGTCTGTCTACACTCTTAATGTTTTAAGTATATAAAAGGGTAAATAAAACTATTCATAGGTGCTGCAAATCTGTATATGGATAGTAGTCAGGACCTTAACCACCACAGACATTCCGGATGACATTTCCCCCAAATATTCAGAATAATGGTTGATTTCTAATTCTAAAGGGTTTTTTAAATTGTTCACTTGGTTCCCCCTCAATATTTAGTGATATTAGGCCAATAGTATTACTGAAAACCTTGATGTATGCGCAGGTATTAGCAAAACACATCAAAAAAAGATGTATCTGTGCTGCTCAATTCAGAGAAGTGTGGATGAGATATCTGTTCGAGCCAATGCAGAGTGCAGCACAACTAACTGGATTGCAACACAACTAACTTGATTAAAGTTAGCATGGTGCAAACCAGTTTTAACAGTGCAGCACACATATGATTGGTTGGCTCTTCATGGTTGATACTGTGCAGACAAACAAACAAACCAGCTTTGATCATTCTAATACGTGCACCACACTGTTTATTGGCTTACACAAATAACGTACTCGGTTACTAACGTAACCTCGGTTCCCTGTATTGGGGAAACTCCTTTTCCTCGAAATATTGAAGCAATAATTTGAAATGCAGTGCAGCTGCACAGTGAAACACAGCAGAGCGTCTAGCTCGCTCATTGGCTGTGCTGCAGCAACTGCACATCTAATGGCCGAGCGCCTCAGACGCGCGACCCAATCAACTGACTTGGCGCCGAATACGCCAGAGCGCGCCTAAATAGGCGTGGCCTAAGCCTATAAAGATCGCTCATTTCGGCCAAAATATCAGGTTTAAATTGACTGAAGCGACACATCCTGACAGATGTGCGGCAGGCTACGCAATACTCGTTCCCTTACTCTTACGTTAGTAACCGAGTACGTTCCCTTTTGAGAAAGGTCACTTCATATTGCGTAGCTAATATGCAGTGGGAACGCAATGGAAAACGCCACACATTAGCAACTGGCTGAATCAACTGGAGCCTAGGGAAACACCCCGAGGCTCAACAGAACAAGCCATAATCAGTCTCCCAGTAAAGTGACACGAACAAGACAGAGTCGGGTTCATGAATAAAAACTGGGGCTCATAACCGTCCTGGGACTACTTGTGCTTATGGACAGTAACATGCTAGATAGATAAAAACCAGACACCGTCGGGTTAATATCATACTGAGAGGACCCTGGCCTGCAGGCAAGGTACCTCCAGATTATAAAATCTGACAAATGTGGATGGCGAGGACCAGCCGGCCGCTGCACAAATGTCTTGAATTGGCACACCACTGGACCAAGCCCACGAAAAAGCCATGCTTCTCGTGGAATGGGCTTTAGCACCTATGGGACAAACCTGGCCCACAGAGGCGTATGCCAGCGAGATGGCGTCCACTATCCGTCTGGATAGCCTCTGCTTCGTGACCGGAACCCCTCTGGTGCGGCCGCCAAAGCAAACAAAGAGCTGTTCTGACTGCCTAAACGGCGTAGAACGCTCTAAGTATATCTTTAGAGTCCTAACGGGACAAAGTAGATTAGCCTCCCCATCATTCTCCGAGGGTGGAAGTGCTAATAATGTAATGACCTGAGCTCTGAACGGGGTTGAGAGTACCCTAGGTACATAACCGTGCCTTGGCTTGAGAATGACTCTGGAGTCATTTATCCCAAATTCCAGGCAGGAGGGGCTCAAAGAGAGAGCAGAGGAGTCTTCAGCGAAAGTGGTTTGAGATCAACCGACTGTAGTGGTTCGAACGGGGGCCCTGGTCCCACGCCGGTATAGTGGGAGGCCTGGGGGGGTTCAACCTCCTGGTTTCTTTGAGAAAACGAACGATAAGTTCGTTTCTCCCCAGTGACTGGCCAGCCACAGGAGCATGGTGAGCTGCCATGGCTGCCACATACACTTTGAGGGTGGATGGGGAGCGACCCGCATCCAAAAGCTCTTGTAAGAAGGAGAGCACCACAGATACTTCCCATGAGTGGGGCTCAAAGTGTCTGGATAAGCACCAGCCAGCGAATACTGACCACTTCAGAGCATAGAGGCATAAGCGTCCGGACTGAGCATCCGCTCTCCTTAATGCATCTGATGACCTGAGGGATCATAGAGACTGGGAACGCATACAGCGGGCGTCTGGGCCATGGGTGGGCCAGCGCACCCCTGTTCTTTGAAAAGAACGTTGTGCAGTGAGCGTTGTTCCTTGAGGCGAAGAGGTCGACCTCTGCCCTGCCGAACACACACTCCCTATCAGACGGGCCAAACACACTCCCTATCAAAGGAGTCTGTGAGTTAAGAGACCACTCACCTGGGGGAGTGTTGTCTTGAGACAGCATGTCCGCGCCCATATTTTGGACTCCCGGGACATGCGCAGCTCTCAGGGAGCGCAGGTTGGCATGCGACCAAAGGAGGAGCTTTCTGGCCATAACATACAGGCTGCCTGATCTGAGGCCACCCTGGCGATTTATATAGGATACCACCGACATGTTGTCCGTGTGGACCAAGACGTGGTGTCCCCTGAGGTCTGGTAGAAATGCATTCAGGGCTAACCAAACTGCTCTCATTTCCAGGCAGTTGATATGTAAGCTCATCTCCAGGCTCAGAAGCCGGAGACAGGCTTGCCCTCGTACAGCGCTCCCCAATCTTGGTTGGAGGCGTCTGTGAAAATTCCTTTCCTCCTGGAGGCCACACCCATAATTACACCCGACTAGTACCAGTTCTGGGCTTTCCAAGGGACCAGAGCTCTCACACAGCGCTGGTTCACCATAATGTGCAGGCGGCCTGACCGCCATGCATGGGCTGGAAGTTATCATTCTGAATGGCCGTCTCATGAGGGCTTTGTTCAGATGTCTCAGATCTAATATGGGGCGGGTGCCACCGTCCTTCTTTGGTACAAGAAAGTAACAGCTGTAAAACCCTGACCGGCTCAGCGCGGGAGTGATTGGTTCGATCGCCCCTTTTGCTAGCAGATTTTGCACTTCGGTGCGAAGCACGTGTACCACGCTGCTTCTCACCGAGGTCTCGACTACCTCTAAACGCGGGGGTCTGCTAGCGAATTGGAGCGAGTAGCCTCGCTTTATAATGTTCATAACCCAGTTTGATACATTGGGGATGGCCTGCCAGGCCAGGGCCCTTGTGGCTAGAGTTTGAACATATATTGGGGCTGGGTCTCCTAGCATAGGGGGACCTAATACCTTAGTGTTGTGTTTTGTGCACATGTTCTCTTTTGGGTTGTTTTGACAAACCCGACAGAGAGATAGAGTGACAACTGGGGGGTGGGGGAGTTATAGGTCGCCTAATGAATGGGGACCGATTACCCGGATGTTGTGTGTTTGAAACATACTGTTTTTGTGCTTTATTTGGGTCGCTGTAAAATCAGCGTTTGTTTGTAGGGGCACGTGCAGCGCAACGGGCCCATTGACTACAGTATGAAAAACTCCAGCCGCCTGAGCTGAACAGGGAGCTGTGAGTTTTAGACAAGCTCTTTTTGAGGGCGGTCCGACTAGTGCGAGACTCAAGACTCTCTCTCTTTTTTCCCTCAGCTAGGAGGGCTTCGGCGGCTCAGGGTCCAACACAGGGGTCGGGGCCCAGGCGCTGGGTTGCGTTTAGCTGACCTTGAGCGCCTTCGGGTATCAGACGCAGGGCGGTTAGCCACAGGGCAGGGCGGGGCTGCCTCTGCCGATGGCCTGGGCGGTAACCTTTATAGCGCGCAGCGCTAGATCTGTGGTAGCGCCGGGAAAGGAAGATAGGAAGAGCGGTGTCGCCATCTTGAAAGAGAGCTAACCGCATCCGCAGCGTTGAGATGGGAAGGCTCTAGCAGTGAGAACAGCCCGCGGCAGAGAGTGCTGCTTCAGCGTGGACGGGTCCCAGGCACCTGGCACACTCCGCGTGCCCGTCATCCTCGTGTAGACGAGCTCTTTTACAAAAACTGAGCGTCGCAGAGCGAGCACAGCAGCAGCAGTAAAAGGATATAGCGGTTGTCTCGCCGGATGGTCACAGGAGATCAGCGTTAGAAGAGTAGCGGCTTCCGGGTAAGTTGAAAGGCGCTGTCCGCTGTTTTTAAGGCTTGCTCTAGCTGATCTGGCTTGATTCGACGGCGAAAGGCTTCAGTGAGGACTCAGAGACGTGAAGTGTCACTGAAGTTGAGTAAATCTGATATTTTGGCCGAAATGAGCAATCTTTATAGGCTAGGGCCACGCCCATTTAGGCGCGCTCTTAAGTATTCGGCGCCAAGTCAGTTGATTGGATCGTGCGTCTGAGGCGCTCGGCCATTGGATGTGCAGTTTCTGCAGCACAGCCAATGAGCGAGCTAGACGCTCTGCTGTGTTTCACTGTGCAGCTGCACTGCGTTTTAAATTATTGCTTCAATATTTCAAGGAAAAGGAGTTTCCCCACTGCGTATTAGCTACGCAATACGAAGTGACCGTTTTCGAAAGGGAACTTATCCACACCACACTGTTGAATGTGTAGATTTATCTTTATTTTGGTGTGTTCGGCTTCCTATAAACAACTCTAAACCAGTGTTTCTCAACCTTGTTCCGGGAGGCACCCCAACACTACACATTTTTAAACTCCTCCTAATCAAACACACCTGAATCAACTCATCAGCTCATTATTAAAGACTCCAAGACCTGAAATGAATGGGTCAGATAAGGGAGACATCCAAAATGTGTACTGATGGGGTGCCTCCAGGAACAAAGTTGGGAAACACTGCTTTAGGGGCCGTTCACATGCGCTCCCGTGGCATCTGTCATTGCTATGCAACCATGAACTGCACTCTCCACATTTGAATTGAATTGAATCAAATTTAGTTGAATCAAATAATAATAAGCGCTTGATGAGTCAAAAAGCTCTGAATATCTCTGAATCGCTATGGTCAGCTGTTCCTCCATGTTGACTGAGCTTTCAATGTTGTTACGGAAAGGGTGAAGCTGATTGGTTGGTTCTTGTCACATGACCTGCTGTGCGCTTGTGGCATTCTGAAAAGTTTAGATTTTTATATCTCGCTGCGTCTGAAAACAATGAGCGCGTTGCAAACGCATCGCTTCTATTATGAGCGCACTTGTCGCACGCCTACATTTGAAATGACGAACTTGAGCAAGCAAAAAACACGATATGTGAACAGCCCCTTAAACTGCTTCAAAGTTGGACTCTAAATTATAAGTTGGAGGGCTGTGGAAACATTGTCAGCTGATTTGTGGCTCTTCTTACAACAGAAACAAGAAACACTCAGAAATGGCCTTTAGGTAATCAAAACAAACCTACACATCCAAAAAATCTCACTTGACACTCTAGGAATCAAATAAAGTCACATGAGATCTAAAACAAATCAAGAAAGTCAAGAAAGATCCCCTCCCCACACACACAAAAAAACAAAAAACAATAGCAATATCAAAAGGTGAAATCAAACAATAACAAAGTTAAGCAACGTCTAGCGAAATAAACCAAACAAAAAAGTGAAACGAGAAGAACCAAACCAAATGAACCAAATGACAGACTGGGTGGAACACCATGAACAGAAGAATGGTTTTATTGCTTATCTATGGGAACACAAAGCAGTTGGTAGATGAGAAGAGGGCGGAAAGGTGAGAGGAGGGGTAGGAGACACACACCAGGGGTTCATCCATTGCCCTGTTGAGTCTGGCCACAGAGTAGGCCCTAATGTCCCTGTGATAGGTCCTGCCAACCTCGCTCAGCCTGCCCTCGCTCCGGAACCTGCGTTGGGGTTGGTGATGGTGCGGATGATAGTGGTAATGGTGGTACGACTCCCGCATGCTCCTTGTCTCTGGAATGTTGTCCAGGAAGTCCTCCTCCACACTGCACTGGCGGGTCAGCGACCTTTTCCTGCCGGCAGCCAGAGCACGGCGCTCCACTGGCCCTTCGCAGTGAATAACCCGCATGTTGGGCCCAGAACCCACTCGCAGCTGGCTTCCCCCTGTGTATGAGTGGTAGCCTCCGCGGTAACCGAGCGAACCCTCCTCCTCGCTCCCGCAGTCTAGTCCACTGTCCGGGCTCTTAGTGTTCTGCCTGCTACTGCTGCTGCTCCAGCACTGCGGCCGCTCCTCTATGGAGGTGTAGCGCGGAGAGGAGCGCTGCCTCTGCAGCCTGCGGATGGACTTACTTGGGGAGAGGTGGTTCGGCTGCTGCGAGTCCTGGTGGTATGGCCTTGGGCTCCTGCATGGAGTGCCTGGACGAGCCTCCTCGAAACGCAGCCGTTGACCCATGACCTCCACCCCAGTGTCCGGATCCTCCTCGGCAACCTCCGGGATGCTGTGGAGCCGCTTGTGGGAGCGCAAGGAGCGCTGTCGTACCACCTCCCGCTGCAAGTCCCAACTGTCTCGTTCCACCGCTAGATCCTGACGCCTGTAATACGCCTTTTATAGGCCGGAGAGGGTGATGGACGAGGAAGGAGCCAAAGTTTCAGTTAGATTTGGATGTTTTTCAATTAGTTAAAATCGGGATTGTTTTGGAGGATTTTGTTTGGTGGTGTTAGAACAGGCAGAGAAGAATAAACAGTGTGCAAAAAGAGAACAAAATGGGAAAAGAAAGACAAAATAAAGACAGAATTAGTTATTGGAGATCATGGTCGAATGTAGGGCATGCAGTCTCATTCCATGACGGACATGACATGCGACGGAAGGGAATCTGTAGAAGGAAAATGTCAGGAAATGCAAACCATACAGAAAATGAGAACCGGAGAGTGTCACATATGCAGGGTTCATTGAGACAATCCACTAACAAAGCACAGTCCAACAACAACAAAAAAATCTACAGATGAGTATTCAGAACACATAATATTAGGAATTAAAAACAGCCAATCAAAGGATTAAGACTAACAAATCTAAGGACTATACATGAATAAAAAAAATAAAAAAAAACCCAACAAAAATCAAAATGGAGGTTCGTCTGCCAAGCAAAAAGTGAATTGTGTTCAAAAGTAGACCAGTAACCTGGAATGGAAATTAAAAATATATATATTAAAAATACAAATCTTTTCTAATGATTTCAAATTGTGTATGAAAATTGTGATTGGTGGTTCAAAATGTATGCATCCTGATACACATAGCAGATATTAAGTGGTGATGGCTATAGCAGAATAAAAAAATAAATAATAAAAAAAATCTTTTTTTTGTATTTGAGGTCAACAATGCAGCAAATATCTTTTTCTGAATCATACTAAACTGTAGCACAATGTTGTCTGCAATGCAATTGGAGGCAAAATATATCCAAAAACAAATAAATATAATCTATATAAGGTGTTAGCTTTCATACCACAATCCCAAATGGGTCTCCAAAAAGAGAACTCAAAACAAAAATGACAAAAACTGAAATATAATATACCATTTATTGCTTCATATATTCAATACATAATGTATTTTGTGTTACCCTTTCTGCATTATACGTATTCATATATATATTGAAAGAAATCTTATTAGACATCTTTATATATGAGACATTTTCATGAAGAGACAGATATTCACAAAATTGTAAAATTACACTGAGAAAAGTAAAACTTAACAGAAGTGTAACCATGAGACACACATAATCAAAAGTGGATAACTGTTTCATTTAAGCATACTTTACTTAAATGAGATTCCCAAAATGCCCTTGGAATGATATGTGCATTTTCACCTGATCAAGCAGAAGCTAATTTGACACTTTAAACAGGTTAAATTTATGTAATACTTATACATACAGTGCACAAACAAACCCTGTCTTTATTATAATAATCACAAACACATAGAACCATGGCATTATATTCCAAGAGTAGAACACTTAAGGCAAGGTAAACAAATACACAACGTATATATTTACACATATATGATTGTCATATGCAATAAATCGAAGAATCTGCTAAATAATCCTGTCAATTCCAAGTAACAAGATCCACTCCACTCTTATTCTACTAGATACAAATCCATAATGATGCAGTACTTATAACTGAACAACACAGTTTGCAACACCCGGAGAGCGTAAAGCATATCAGATCGTCTACTCATGCATTGCGTGTGCAGCCTCAGGTTAAGCCATTCAGATGTATAGAGCTTTGTATGACTGGACAGGCTTATACAAAGCTGGCTAAATGACTGGATGACGTCGAAGTTCGGTAGTGCAAAGCGACCCACTTTTAGGACCCAGGAGAGACTGAGGATGGGGCGACCTGTTAAGATCTTGTCGCTCAAGCTTTGTGTACAACATCAGAGGTCTAACACCCCCCATTTTAAATTCAAAATACAACAAAAAACAGCGCTAGTCATATTCAGGACAAATCCAAGGAGTTACTTTATAACAAAAAAGCTTACCTCTAAAAACCACCTTAACCAAACTGCAGTTGGCCTTTCAAACCGATTCTGTAAGGTTGAAGTGCCAACCAGCTAGTACCACCCCCTCGGAGGAGCCCTACAAACCACGGCATACTCCACCCCCCTTCGTCTGTCCCAGCCTCTAGCCTGCGGCCCTGCGGCCCACGCCCAAGACAGACGGCGGCCGGAAGGGTGTCTGTTCCATACCTTAAGCGTGTTGTGTGAGTTGATGCTGCGGCGGCGGCCTTCTTCCAGCTGCATCTCTGAGTACAGCTCCTCCTCATCCTCCTCCATGATGTCAGACAGATCAGAGCCCCGACTGCTCTCGGTGTAGTACTCCTCACTGTGGCTGTATTGATGATGCTGGAGGTACAGAGAGTTTAACAAAACCATGAGAGACACCAGGAAGAAATCTTCAAAACTCAACGGAAATCTCACTATGTTTCTGGTCCATAATTTTGTCCCTAATCACATTTGCTCATCAATACTTCACTCTTAATTGGTTTTGCAAATCTGTCTGTGTTTTTCTATTTGTATAGGTTTGATGTTTTCTTTGATTTGCTTGGATTTTATATTTGGTTTGTATCTTTTTATGTATTCCCTTCCTTTTGTTTAGACCTATGATTTATTTGTATGTTGTTTCCTTTTCTCTGTTCCTTTGACAACTTTGAAGTCTTGAAATGTGCTAAATAAAATAAAAAATATTATAATTAATATTATTATTAAATAAGAAAACACAGCACAAATAAAAATAATTAAAGAAATAAGCATAAGGTGGCCTCAAAAAAATTATTGACATTTTTGGGCACACGCAAAAGTGTATGAATGTCTTAAGCTAAAAGTTAAAAGTTAGTACACCCCATGAAAAATGTAGTCCCCCCCCCCCCCCCAGCAGGTACAGTACATGCAGGTATTGGAATGGCATTTCCCCAATGTTAACAGAAAAAAGACAATATAATTCAACATAAATACAGGTGAAACTCGGAAAATTTGAATATTGTGCAAAAGTTCATTTATTTCAGTAATTCAACTTAAAAGGTGAAACTAATATATTAGTAGACTCATTACATGCAAAGTGAGATATTTCAAGCCTTTATTTGTTATAATTTTGATGATTATGGCTTAGAGCTTATGAAAACCCCATATTCAAAATTAGAATATTACATGAAATCAATTAAAAAAAAGGATTTTAAATACAGAAATGTCGGCCCTCTGAAAAGTATAATCATGCATATGTACTCAGTACTTGGTTTGGGCCCCTTTTGCATGAATTACTGCCTCAATGCAGCATGGCATGTATGCTATCAGCAAAATATTCAAATTTTTCGAGTTTCACCTGTATAATTATAATTCAATATAATTTCATTAATAATTCAATATAATATAAACAGAACATAATTCAATATAATATATTGTGACACTTGGAATGCACATTTTGTAATGATTTGAATAGCATAAATAAAAAGAAATGCCTATTTCTTGTCTTGAAAAAGTTAGTACGAGACCCGTCAACATTAACACACGTAAGATGTAGTGACAATGCATGACGATTCTGTCAGTTGGCCCAAAACTCCCAGAAAAGTTTCCCTGTGCAATAACAAAACCGAAGCACTTTAAAGTTGAGAAGATGGTCGTTCCTAAGACTCACGTGTCTGCCCAGCTCAGAACCTCTGAGAAACTCGTCCACAGAAGCTCCTCTTCGCCTGGCGTGGGGGGAATCGTACCCGTCCTCTTCCTCATCTGAGTTTAAAGACTGCGAAGCGTTACCCTTCTCACTGAAGATGTTCCTCCTCTCCACCTGAAACATATCACAACTATCAAGTCAGGGTTTCACATTGCAAGCATTTCACTCGCATTTCCAACTAAAAAGAGAAGTGTGAGAATTGTAAAATGTACTTAGGAGCACTTGTGTGAATAAAAAAAGTCCCAGCGGGTCCTCAGTTTAATGAAATTTAAGGTCATAATAAATATTAACTATTGCTGGCCCATCAAAGGAAGGAAAGACTAAGAACATTATTTAACAAATTATTTAATATTTACAGTAGATTTATATATATACATATCAATTTATTTTTATATAAATCTACTGTGTTAAAACATCAAAAACATTTAGCATATAATAATTAAATTAAAACAACATAGTTTTTGATAATGTTATTTATAATAAATAATTATTACATTAAAGCTAAACAATACTGCATAATAAATGCAAAAAAACATTAAATATAGAATTCTTATATTTAAATATTACAGTGACATATTTTAAAAATATATTGTATATATTATATATATATATTAGGGGTGGGTATTGACACAAATTTCACGATTTGATTCGATTTCGATTCAGATTCACAAGCTTGCGGTTAATCCAATTTCGAAAACTTATGCTGTAAACTATACAGGGACTCAACTGGACCATTACTATAATATCGAAGGTTACAATTAACTGATTTGTATACAAACACTTGAATTAAACACAAGGAAGTTTTTTTTCTATAATAATAAAGTTATAATGCTAACTTTATAATTACATAATTGTTACTTCACACATTAAATATTGAATATATAATGAATACAGTTTAATACAATACAAATTATCCAACCCCCCGGAGACAATTTACAAATATAAGCTTGTCTAAAGACAGAGTTTTAAAAATTGCATCAATAAAACAGTTAAGAGGCAAATTAAAAGTATCAATATATATCAATATATAAAGTAATGCTTTTGAATTACATGATTTTTTTGTAATACAACTGCCATAATTATTCAACCCATTTTCAACGCTGTTGTTTAAATCACTTATATTTGTATGGTATGGTACAAATTGTGTTAAAACACAATTTAGCCTTTGGAAACTATAACTAAACTGAATTAGCTTGTGCTGTTATACATACATACATACACACATACATTTAGCCCATGCATGTGCTAAAGTTGAGTAGCAAATATGGCCAAGTCAAAAGAGCTCTCGCAAAAGCTATAGAAAACAAATTGTTTTATTTCATTAGAAAATCTATGGCTACAAGAAGATTTCCAAAACACTAAAAGTTCCTAGAGACACAGCTGGCAGCCTTATACATAAGTTTAAATTTTGTTGTACCAGAAAACCTTTAAGGGTGTTGAATAGAGCTGTAGTTTTTTAATGTGCTCCTAAATTTTTCAACTTAGAAGCACATGTGCTCCTTGGGAAAAAAGTAAGTGTCAAGCCCTGCATGTACAATTCCAAATTCCATGTACAATATTTTGCCAAGCTGCTTCATAGTATGCTAGCAATCATCTACTGTATATTGACATCTTAGCATCAACATCCTCATTTACTTAAACTAGAGGCCTCACCCTACTGTTCGGGGCGTTCCTCTGCGCTGCCTGGCGGGCCATAGCGCGAGCCACTGTGTTAGGAATGGGCGCTCCCTGAGGTTGAGGCAAGATCCTCTGAGGGGAGGGCGAGCGCCGGCCCTCTACGTGAGGGGGCTCCAGCGTGTGCCCCGGGTGCGAAGGGGGTGGTAGGGGTGACGGGGCCCGGGGATGCGGCTCCCAGGACTGTCCCGGTCGCCTGCTCATCTCTGGATCTTTGGCATGGGGGTCTCTGGCACTTGGTAGGCGTTTGGGTTTAGATAAGGGGTACAGGGAGGGCGAGGAGTGGGGATGTGAGGGCGGGGGATGAGGGTGAGGGTGGGCTGGTGGGCCGGAGTGAGGCTGGACATGCGGTTGAGGATGGGTTGGGGGGTAGGCTTGTGGGTAGGGAGGTGGGTGAGTCTGAGGGTGAGACTGGAGGTGAGGGTGTCCATGGTGAGGCACCAGGAGGCTGTGCGGAATGGTGGCCACGGGAGAGTCTTGTGACTCTCCTTGTGCTGATATTGTCCTCACTACGACCTCCCGTGCTTCCAGACACTGGATACGATTCAGTTCCACCGTAACATAATCTGCTGTGGGGTACATTATCTCTGCTATCTGAAAACAAACAAACAGAAATACAGGATGAACAAATGTCCCTAGGCAAGAATGAACAATAAGGTGTTTTCTTCTGGTCCAGTCAGACAGTTAATCAGATTTGCACTTGCCCTGTTATTTTATTTGATATTTTCACTGGCATAATCACATAAATTATACATTTTATTTTCAATTTGTGTTAGAAATAAATACATTTTATACTTTTCACTAAAATAAAAAATATATATAAATATATAAAACATACATAAATACAAAATAATATATTTCAAAATATATATTTAAATTATGTTTTTAAAATTTGTGCCCTTTCAAAACTTATATATATATATATATATATACACACACTAGCGTTCAAAAGTTTTAGCTCGGTACGATTTTTAATTGTTTTTAAAAGAAGTCTCTTCTTCTCTCTGCTTTATATGAACTACTGGTACATGAAAAACATCTTCGAAAAATACATTTATGTGTACATGATAATTATGTATTCTGAATATACAGTTTTTTGTCTCACGAAAAGGGGTTGATATCATTTCAAAATATGTTTTTGCCTGAATGTCCAAAATGACTTGCATAAACCCCTGCAATATATAACACACGGGAAACATTGGCCATTCAGCGACACAAGCGATCACCAGATGGCGCCAGTGAGCAGAATGAAACCTGCACTCCAAACATGTGAACTAGCATAACATGTTCAACCTACAAAGCTGATCTTGGACCTTTCATTGGCTTTATAAGCAGGGCACACAGCTTATTGCAAATCAGTAGCTGTTGTGAGTAAATGGCATGATGATAGTAAGAATCAGCAGCATAACTTCACCTTTTGACCTTTAGTGCAGACTATGTAGCCGATTACACTGGCTCCATTGGAAGTGCCGGTAGAAGTGAGGGGGGGGGGCTTCCACCGGATCTGCAAGACTCCAGGTGTCTGTCCCAACTGAACTTGCACATCCTGAGGAGGTAAAGGAGGACCTGAAAAAATAAAATAAAATAAAAGAGGATGTTCATGAAATAACAGAATACTGAAACAAAATGTGTGAGTTGCTACACTTTTATCATGATTCAAGCAAATTTGTGTGTTTGTGGGTGGGCTGTGACATGCATTATGCTTTCAGAAACATGTGCATGCTTGTGCATGAAAATATGATGCATGTGTAATGGGCATGTAAATGTGCGTGCATTTTACAGCCGAAAGGGACGCCAGCTGTGCAAAGACTACCATAGTGTATTCTCTTATGTCAGCACTCTAATTTTATGTGGGCTGATTAGTCTTAATCCCAGTGTTATATATGGCTGCTGGCAATGGACCGCACCATCTCAGAACCTAAAACGTACTCAGTTAATTATGTAACCTCGGTTCCTTGAGATACTTTACTCGTACTTCGTCGCTAGATGCTGTTATGGGAAAACTCATTTTTCTCAGAATTCTGAAGCCTTTTTAATCACGCAGTGAAACTGCATGGCCATTGGTTCGTGCAGAGTAATAAAACGAACCAATGACGAGGCAGCGGAGCTGCACGAGCCTATGTCAGAGAAGCCCGCCAGAGCACAACAATATGGGCGTGGTATCTGGCTATAAAAGCAGGTGATCTGGCATAAGATACTCAGATTAAATTCGACTGAAGCGATGAACTGAGAGTCGTGCAGCAATATAGCACGGCCTGAAACGCAGTACTTGTTCCCGTATCTCAGGGAACCGAGGTTACGCAAGTAACCGAGTTTCCCTTTCGATACTTTACTTGAACTGCGTCACTAGACGTTGTTATAGGGAACCAATACAATCACGGCGTGCTATGGCTGCAGAACGACGATATACTTGGCCTTAAGCCCTAGCAGAGCCTAGAGGAACCAAGACATAATAGGGAATACTCATTTCGCTAGGGGCTCAGACGTAAACCTCTATGAACGTAAACCAGGAAGAACTCATAGAGGTCGATCCTGCCCTAGACAATCGTTCCAGGAAACCTCTATGGCCTAGGCACTAGAAGGGCCGAGAGCTGGTTAGGTAAGAGAAGGCAATAGCCTGTTACCAGTGGCCCAGACCCTGATCGGAGCCACGAATATATTATAGCAATAGGCAAAAGCCATAGAGTTACCCCATATAGTAGGGAGGAAGTTCATAGTGGTTTGGGCTCGGCTGAGGCCAAATCTACTAGACAGAAAGGACTTGTGCCTGTAGAGCAGGGACTTCTAGATTGTAGAACCTGGTAAATGTGGACAGCGAGGACCAGCCGGCTGCTGCACAAATATCACCAATGGAGACACCACTGGACCAGGCCCAGGACGAGGCCATGCCTGAAGTGGAATGAGCTCTTACTCTGATGATGCATTGTAGGCCTGTCGAGGAGTAGGCTAGTGCAATTGCATCCACTATCCATCTGGATATCCTCTGCTTTGTGACCGGATGCCCTTTAGTGTGGCCTCCGAAGTATACAAAAAGCTGTTCCGCGTGTCTAAAAGAGGCGGAACGCTCTAAGTATATTCTTAAAGCCCTGACAGGGCAGAGTAAATGCAGCTCTCGTTCATCCGCGGAGGGAGGAAGTGCTGAAAGGGAAATGACCTGTGCTCCTGAACGGAGTAGAGAGCACCTTAGGTATATAACCATGCTTTGATTTGAGGACAACTTTGCAGTCGTTTGGCCCAAATTCCAAGCATGAGGCATTCACAGAGAGTGCCTGTATGTCACCCACACGCTTGACCGATGCTAGTGCTAGCAGAAGTATGGTCTTTAGCGTCAGCGGTCACAGATCGACTGACTGAAGTGGCTCAAAGGGAGGGCTCCTAAGAGCCCTTACCACTGTAGACAAGTCCCATGTAGGGACGGTGAGGGGGCGGGGCGGGTTCAGCCTCCTGGACCCCTTCATGAAACGAACCACAAGGTTGTTTTTGCCCACAGTTTGGCCAGCCACAGGGGCGTGGAGCGCTGCGATGGCTGCCAGATAAACCTTGAAAGTGGAGGGAGTACGTCACTTATCCAGCAGCTCCTGCAGGAAAGACAATATCAGAGATATGTCGCAAGAGAGGGCGCTCCGGGCTGTGCACCAGGCGAAGAACACAGACCATTTAAGGGCATAGAGGCGTTGTGTAGATGGGGCTCTAGCCTCGGAAATGGTGTTTAAGACTTTCTCGGGGAGGTCCATAGGCTCCCATCGAGAGGCCAAAGGAGCAGTGCCCACAACTTGGGTTGGAGTTGCCAAATTGTCCTGTTTGCCTGAGAGAGGAGGTCCCGTCTCAGAGGGATGGGCCACGGGGGTGCTGTGAGCAGCTACGTCAGTTCTGAGAACCAAGGTTGGTTCCTCCAGAGGGGGGCTACAAAGAGGACTACATGTTTGTATTCCCTGATTCGTCTGATGACCTGAGGGATCAGTGCGATCGGGGGAAATTCGTATAGGAGAAGGCTGGGCAAGTCGTGGGCCAGCGCATCCCTGCTCTTTGAGAAATAAGTTGGGCAGTGAGAGTTGTCTTCTGAGGTGAAGAGGTCGACCTCTGCCTTCCCGAAGATCTCCCATATTTTGTGAACCGTGTGGGGGTGAAGCATCTACTCCTCTGATGTGCTGTGATGTGCCCATACCAGGAGGTGTTTCACCAGTTTGAACAGAAGTTTCGAGGTGAGCCTGCCCTGGCGATTTATGTAAAATACCACTGTCATGCTGTCCGATCGGACCAAGATGTGGTTTCCCTTCAGTTCTGGTAGGAAAGTCTGAAAGGCTCGACAGCCAGCATTTACAGGCAGTTGATGTGTAGCCGACTTTCCTCATTTGACCAGGAGCCGAAGGCTGGTTTGCCTTCACACAGAGCTCCCCAACCTGTGTTGGAAGCATCTGTCAGGACCACTTTCCTTCTGGTAACCACCCCCAGCGCCATGCCAGACTGGAACCAATGAGGATTTCTCCAAGGGGCCAGGGCTAACACGCAGGCCTGGCTCAACCTGATATGTAGGCGTCCGTGACGCCAGGCATGGGCTGGTACTCGAGGTTTCAACCAGTACTGTAGGGGACGCATGTGCAGCAGACCTAGCTGAAGTACTGGAGATGCAGAGGCCATGTGGCCCAGCATCCACTGAAAAGACCTGATGGTGGGAGAGGGTCCAATTTTGAAGAAAATCAAATTTCGCGAGGTGCTGAATGGTCAGAGACTGCGGCCAACATGTCATGCTATGACATGACTGCGGCCAACATTTGGGCCAAGTCGAAGACTGTTCCCAGGAACGAAATCCGTTGGCTGGGGGACAGCAAGCTCTTGGCGAAATTGACCCTGAGTCCCAGGCACTCGAAGTGGCTGAGGAGCACGGATATTTGAGAGTTTTAGCTCCGCCTCCGACTGGGTCGTCGAGATAGTTCAGAATGCAGATTTCCATCTGTCTCAGAGGGCCGCATCCATGCACTTTGTGAAAGTGCGAGGAGCCAGGGACAGACCGAACGGGAGGACCGTATACTGATATGCCACTCTCTCGAAGGCGAATCTCAAGAATTTCCTGTGATGGGGGGCTATCTGGATGTGAAAGTATGCGTCTATCAGGTCCAGAGAGAAAAACCAGTCCCCTGGGCATATTTGCGAGGGGATATGCTTCAAAGTAATGTCCTGAACGTCCGTTTCATAAGGGCGCGATTCAGGCACCTGAGGTCTAAGAAGGGTCTGAGACCGGCTGTAAAAGCGGCTGTAAAAGCCTGACTCACTCTTTGCTGTCAGGACCATTTCTACAGCTCCTTTCGCCAGTAAATTCATCACCTCGGTGCGGAGGACGAGAGCTTCATTGCTCCTTACCGAGGTGGGAATCACGCTGCTGAAACGCGGGGGTCTGCAAGCAAATTGTAGAGAGTAACCTTGTTTTATTATCCCCAAAACCCATTCTGACACTCCGGGGATGGCCTCCGAGGCCTTGGCCCGCGTGGCAAGGAGTTCTATTAGTTCGAGCGACAGACCACTGTGTAGGAGCCTGGTGCTCGTGGTAAGTGGAAGAGGAAAAAAGCTCTCTTTTTGAGTATGTTTGTGTTTTATTTTGTTCGCTATAACAGCATTTATTTGCATGGGAACGTGAAACTGTATGGGCCCAAAGGCTGCAACAAACACACTGCCTCCAGCACCGAGAACTGAACTGGGTGCTAGGGGGCATAAATTAGGCTTTTTGGAGGGTGGTCCGGCCGCAGCGAGACATAGCCTCGTCCTCTTCTTTCCTGGCAGATCAGGATGACTTTTGAGGCGCTGGGTCCAGCGTTATCTTAGGCCGGGGTCCCTGGCGCTTCAGGAAGGGCTGGCGTTTTGCAGATAGCGAGCGCTGCCGAGGCTCAGGCTGTGGTGCAGGCTGAGCAGAGATATACTAAATCACAGTATATTTTTGATTTGCTAAAAAGAACCGGCTCATAAGAATAGTTGCTCGTGACTTATGGTCATGCTGTACTGTATATTTTTGGATTCGCTAAAACGAACTGGCTCATATAAATAATTTATATCTTTGCATGCAGCCCATCAGGACTCGATAGAAAGACTCACCATTCTCACCACTTTTTCTTGATACACGTGTAAATAATGGCGCCATCTTTGTGCACAGACAAGTGTGAAGAAGATTTAAGAGCTTTCCTCACACAAAGCTATTATTTTAATGCTATTATGTAAAAACTCTTTTCAAAACTTTTTAACAGCATTTCATTGTTAAATGCTATCACAGTTCTTGTCTACTAAAACACTAATTAAAACTGTATATGGTTTCCCAGTGACAAGCTCTCACTCAAACAATCAATTAAGAGAAGCCATCCTGATGTCAGAGAGCAGGTAGGTTTGAACTCTTCGATGAATCACACTAATCCACAATGATCACTTCTCTGCCCACCACATGACAGATCATCGGGGAGCGCTTAATCAATGACCACCCCTCACTGATCAGAGCCCACGGGGGCGCTCGGAGCGCCGATCGGTCCAGAGACATCAGGGGGCATGACTGAGAGCCTGTGGAAAGACAGTGGAGCTAAAAGTGG